TTATTCCAAACTATCACTGAATCTACATCACTTGAAAGACTCGAAATTTTCCAATGTGTCAAAGGCAACCATAAACTCCATTCCTTAGTTTTTAGCTCACCTGTCACAAACGTCGACAGGTCAAGCTTTTTTCAATACCCACCATTTCATACCGTGATGTCCCTTTTTCGTCTTAAGCATGGCCGTAAACTTTTACTTTAAATGACATCTGCTCATAATAAACCACTACGCTAATTTCATTCCAAAAGTCTTCACAAGAGTGTTCCTTGTTGGCTGTCACCCTTTAAAATTGTGGCATAAGAATTTAATTTGCATGCAGAATTAGCTCTGGTTGCAATGAGGGAACCTGAAAGAAAAAAACTTTAAATATTCGATCTTTAAAAAAACCCTAAGAGCTAGAGCTTCATATATTTGGCTGAGAAGACATCCGTAGTGAGTGTTCTACCATAGTTTTTCATAAATAAAACGAGCCCTGGGGTCCAAAATTGGCCCGCCCCAGGGGTCTTTGTTTTTCCCTATGTGCATATAGTAAAAAAACTTTATAAAATCTCCATTTAAAGTTAACCCAAAGAGCTAGAGCTTAAGATAAGATATAGGTAAGCATGAAACATCATCTAAGTGAGTTGTTTACCAAGTTTGTTCAAATAAAAGGCCCGGGGTCAAAATTGGTCCTGCCCCCAGGGGTCATTAATTTTCTTTAAATGCATATTAGTAACAACTTTAAAAAAATCTTCTTTTAAGAAACTAAAAGAGCTAGAGTTAAGATATTTAGCATGAAAATATCTTCTAGTGAGTGTTTACAAAGATTGTTAAAATAAAAGCCCTGGGGTCAAAATTGGTCCTGCCCCAGGGGGTCATTAATTTTCTTTTAAATGCAAATAGTAAAAACTTAAAAAATCATTCTTTTAAAGAACCCAAAGAGCTAGAGCTAAGATATTTAGCATGAACATCTTCTAATGAGTGTCTACCAAGTTTGTTCAAATAAAAGCCCGGGGTCAAAAATTGGCCCTGCCCCAGGGATCATTGATTTTCCCTATATGCATATAGTAAAAACTTCAAAAATCTTTTTTAAAGAACCCAAAAAGCTAGAGTTTTTATTATAAGTTGAAACATCTTCTTAGTGAGTGTCTACAAAGTTTGTTCAAATAAAAGCCCTGGGTCAAAACTGGCCCTGCTTCCAGGGTTGTCATTGTTTTTAAACAGTATATGTTAGTAAAAACTTAAAAAAATCTTCTTTAAAAAAACCCAAAAATAAACTAGAGCTTTGATGTTTAGCATGAATCATCTTCTTATGGATGTCTTCCAAGTTTGTTCAAATAAAAGCCCTTGGGTTAAAACTGGCCTGCAGGGTGGGGGGTGCTTTTTATGAATGGAATCAAAGAGAGATGAAGTCTAAAAATGTGATACTGTCAATGTGACTAACCTTGAAGTAAACAGATGACACAGTGTTTTTTCAAATGTCATGGGCATATAATGAAGAGGTACATGATTATTTGTATACAGCTTTATTCCTTTAATAAATACTTTCTAAATGTTTGACATGTTTAAAGGAGCCAACACAGGAGCTCAAGGTTTTATTATAAATCTGTAAGTCTTGGCAACTTAGAGCCAATTGTATATTAATTATTTCATATTATCTTTATTTATCATTAATGCAATCTGTTTGTTAATTAGGAACAAAAGTCGATAGCAAAATACATTTTAGCCGTGTCATGACGAAACCAAGCATAATGGGCATCCGCCCAGTCTGATCAGCTATCCATACTGTTCGCTATCAGTTTCTCTACTAGTAATAAGGTTTGTAAGAGCGAACAAGCATGGATCCTGAATCAGACTAACCTGGTCTGGATCCATGCTGGTCGCAAACCCATTATGTTTTGTATTTTTTGTCTATGACCACGGCTCATTTGTGACATGTAATTCACTTAAATTGTAATTTTATTTTGTATATATATATTTCATCTTCAAAACAATTAAAGTAATGATTATAATAGCATTGATTTCATATTGTTTGTCTTAATAATTAGCTTTGTTTTTTAGAATAATAACTACGTTGAGTTAGATTTTAACTTGTTGGTTTATCTTGTTTAAAATATTTGTTTAAACCGATTAGAACACCAAGTATTCATCTGATATATAAAATGGAAACGACAGCTATTGCTTGTTTTAAAGTGATATGCTTAATGAATATTCAGCAATAAGTTTTAATTTACTTGTAATTATAATAACCATGTCTACGAATGACTCATGGGTAAACAAGATAAGCCTGTCATAAAAGCTATGTAAAGTTTTGTTTAATTTAAGAAATTCTAATTTATGTTTGCTGTTAAATCAATGCGTATGATAACAATTTTATTCCTGTTTTCTGTTATATACGCCACACGTTTTAAGTAATTCTAAATGCTTATATTGAAATGGTCAAAAACACATGGCAGATACTGTGAGAGTAACATATTATAGTACTCAATAAATAATAAAAGAATCAGTTGATAAAAAACAAGGCCTGAATGAAAACCAAAGGCCTGATGACATTTTACTAAAAATACCATTTCATTAATAATTTTATCGATAACATTTTCTAAACGTTCTTGTATTATATATTTACTTGTTTCAGTTCTATTTAAAAAAAAAAACACTAATTTTATAAAAAAAAAAAGAAACTCTTCTAGGAAGGGATATTTAAGATTTCGCAAGAATTAATGTAAGCACATATTTTGTGGTACATATTACATGTATTCATACTAATGTGAATTTATATTTTTTTTACCCAAGGTGTTTAGAAATTTAGTCATTTTTATGTGGACCAGACCTCTTAAATGATATGAAAAGTTTCATTTGATGCACGGTAAAATTATTGTTTACAAAGCATATATTCAAGATTGGTTGTAATATGTAAGCATTATTAGTGGTATTATGCCTATCCAATGTTACTTGAGAACATTCAAAATATTATTTTTCATCAAATTCTTTTTCAAAGGCTAGGGTTGGATAACAATTAAGTGGGAAAAAAGTTTTACAATGCTTCATACTTAATAAATTTTCTTCACTTTCACTCAATATATTTGTTATTATTCATCCTTAGTCATTTCATTATACAATCTTTTAATGACATATATACAGGTAATGCAACTATTATTGCAAGGGAATAAGCATAATACCTCTAACATCGCATTTGTACTTTATTTTGTATAATCATTTCATCTTCAAAACAATTAAAGTAATGATTATAATAGCATTGATTTTCATATTTGTTTGTCTTAATAATTAGCTTTGTTTAAAATATAACGGTGTAGTTTTTATTGTTGGTTTATCTTGTTTAAGATTTGTTTAAACCGATTACCAATCAGTCTATATAATAATTGGAAAGACAGAATATTGCTGTGTTTTAGAGTGATATGCTTAATGAATATTCAGCAATAAGTATTTACTGTATAATTACCACTCTGACCTAGGGTAAAACAAGATAAAGCTGTCATAAAGATGTAAATTTTTGTTTAATTTAAGAATTCTATTTATTTAATGTTGCTGTTAAAATGCGTATGATACAATTTTATTCCTGTTTTCTGTATATACACACAGTTTTTAAGTAATTACTGCTTTGAAATGTCAAAAACTGCAGATACTTTTGTAAATAAGTCAAATAATAAAAAGAATCAGTTGATAAAAAACAAGGCCTGATGAAAAACCAAAGGCCTGATGACATTTTCTAAAACCATTTCATTAATAATTTTATCGATAACATTTTTTTTAAAGTGTTGTATATATATTTATTTGTTTCAAGTTCTTAAGTTTAGTTCTCTTACATAGTTTATTGTTCAAATCAAAGGTTAGTGTTATCTTGAATGGATATACATTGATGTATGTAATTTGAACCTACAAGCCACAAGGCAGGCTGTTAAACAACTATTTTGCTCTGACATCTTTACCGACAGACTTCCAGGGTTTGACACTGAGATGTTTGTTCCAGCTGAGGCGCAATTAGCTAAAATAGTTTTCAATTATACTCAATACAGTTCCGTCAGACTAGTACAACACCAACGTAATATAGCTTACCATACTGTACGTTTCAAGTAGTACATTGGTATTTAACTCATCTTGTTTGAATAGAACTCTTTTTTTATTTATTATATTATAGGAATCTACCCCCCCCCCCACTCCTGCAGAGCAACAGTTTTTTAGATACAAGTAATTTAGTTTTGTGACTTACAGGTGATAGCCCTAATGAGAGAGTGAAAATTAATTATTGAATCTTACTTTGACAAGAAACGATACTATTGTTCTAACGTGGTTTTTACTTTACAGGGAGCCGCTTTGCAAAGATTGTATTGTATTGTATTTTCAAAAAAAATATGTACAGCTTGCTCTTGTGGGTTATGGATATTGGAAAGTAGTAGTTCCAGACTTTTACAATGTTTAGCTCCCTTTGCAAACGTGACAGCCATTTGCCGAAAGGGGGTCATTATTTAATATGTATAAAAAAATATTGAAAAATTATAAAAAATAAGCAAAGCTAAGTTAACAGATCATATAAAGATGAAAACTGAAATTAATTTACAAATTTGAAGAAAATAATTGTTAAAGCACCAATTCCTAAAGAACTGTATTGGCTTTCATGAAAATATTAGAATTGTGAGAGATTTAAATCTAATCTTAAGTTTATAGTTACACGTGTTGTGTTCGGTATTACGTACGGTATTTCGTTGCTGTTTGGGTTTTAAGTCACAACGGTAAATCATATAGCGACTTTTCAGCTTTACTTGTGGAGGAACACCTCTTTTGCCCATTCTTGCATTATTTTAAGTACGAGCTGGCACAATTGAAATGACCCTGAGCAAAATGTCGACCAAGGGAAATTGAAAAGCATCTGTAACTGTTCATAATATTTACATACTACATGTATAAATACATAAATTTAAATTGTATTATGTAGAATGATGACTATCTTTATTTCAGTTTAAGATGTTTATTGTTTTCAATAGAACAACTTATTTTTGTTTTAGGGTGAGCAGCCTATATGTGTCGTGGCAACTTCTGGAACAACTGTGCTCGGATCATTTGATCCACTGGACGCTCTTGCAGACATTTGCGACAAACACGGCGTCTGGCTACATTGTGATGTATATTTATCTATCCTTTTATATTCTAAATATCAAAGTAATGCTAATTATTTATCTGTTCAGCATTTTTTTTCGGCATATATGATAATCATATATAAACAGAAGGGTTTATGTTACGAGTGTTCCTTGTCCGAGATATTAAAGGGAATACCACTTTGATAAATAAGTATCGTAGTGAGAAGAAGAATTTTTGTAAAACTCTTAAACTAAGACTGATAATCCTGTGAACGTATACCTTCTGAACTTTTACGTTTACTTCTAAACTATTACGTTTACTTCTGATATTGTCCATTTTACTTCTGAAATATTCCGTTTTTACTTCTGAACTTTTATGTTTCCTTTACTTCTGAATTTGTATGTTTTACTTACATTCGTATTCAATCCCTTTTTCAGGCATGTTGGGGCGGAAGTGCACTCTTGTCAGAAAAACATAAGCATCTATTAGATGGAATACACAGGTTATACAACCAATTCTTCCTTAAAGTTTATGTCAAATTGTCGGTAGTTGCATTTCGACAAACTTTCCAAATTCGGATTTCAAATCTTTTCAAATTTTGAAAGATATCTAGATATTTATTGAAATGATATATTTGTCAGTTTGTTTAAAATGTCATTGGAAAAGAGGATTAAATGCTCGTTATTTCTTAAATCAAAAAAGGTTAAAAGTCATAAGACGAGATCTTATATTGTGTGCTCTGGATTTTTGAAAGACAATCAATCGCATTCTTTATCCGTCTTTTTGTCCCCTACATGTGCCCAAGAACAACATTACCATATAAGTTGATGCCATTAAAGTAAATGCCGCAAAGTAATTAATTTTTGAAATACACAATTTTTTGTGTTTACAATGTAATAACAGAATCTTATACACAAGTATTTTTGGTGTTTGATTAAAAATAATACTATAACAGGTATATTTGTTCCCTAATGGCACTGTTCAGGGTAAAATATATTCGCAGCAGTTACTTCCCTTAGTCGGTACACCAACGAAGCGTGAAATTGTATCTCGCCAAGGAAAAGTACTTTTAGTACTTTGATTATATACACTTACATAATTTATTCTATAATTACAGGACTTCGTCTGTAAGTTGGAACATGCACAAGCTTACAGCAACGCCGATGCAATGCTCATTATTTCTTATAAAAGAAAAGGTATGAGTCGTTTAAATCATTGCATATAAATAATACACCCGTGGTTCATTTTCAAAAGGACTCAACAGATATTATTTGTTTTCGTGTTCTTATTAACGATATTTACTGTTTTGATGACGCTTTTATTTAAGATAGCCAGTACTTGCGATAACATTAGTTGTACTGTTCTATTACACCTTGCATGTTTTTGTAAGACATGTTAAGTTTAGATCCACAAAAGACTTGTAATAAACATTTAATTGTAACATTTCAAAAATGCAGTCAAGAAAACACATCTTTGTTTTGCTTCGTTTGACCTACTTTCCATGTTTTTCTTTCATCATAAAAGATTTGTTATACATTTTATTGCATCATTACGGTTATGTTTTCACTATTTTCTTTCCTGTAAAGAAGATTGTAACAGATTTAATGTTGAAAGTATGTAACAGATTTAATGTTAAATATCTTTGTATTATAGGGTTTGTTAGAAGAATGTAACAGATTTAATGTTGAATATCTTTTTCAACCAGACAAATGTTACGACACGTCATACGATATAGGTAAGGTCAGAACCAAGGACCTCCATGGCCGAGTGGTAAAGGTTTGCTGATTTTGTTTCCCTTACCCCCTTTACGTTACTGGCTTCTACCCCGACTGCGACTTTGTATTTTAACATATAAGGCAGCTATCCAGATAGTTTACGTAAAGTCGGTGGTTTTATACAAGTGCCCGCTTGCGAATGAAATAAACCATTGAAATCTAACACAAAAGCTGGAAAAGCACAATATATTTTTTACGCTTTGGTAATAACGTTCAAACAAATAGCCTAGAATATTAAGAAAAAAATAATTGTAATATTTTAACGACTCCATTATTAATCAAAGAGACATTGATAACAAGTCTTTAACACTCATATATTTTAGATAATTTGAAATACTTACAGGAAAGAGAAATTGTAAATTCTAACATGTATTGAAAAGTTTCTGGTCCAAGAATATGTACTAGTATATCTAATTTATATCTATTCTCTTATCTGGATGACGTCTGTATCTTAATCTAAAGTGGGGGTATTTATACTTATTAAGGTCATAAAACTGTGCAGTGTGGACGTAAGGCTGATTCCCTGAAATTATGGTTGATGTGGAAAGGTCTTGGAGACGCCGGAATGTCTGCTATTGTGGACAAAGCATTTGAAAATGCAAGGTGCATAATTATTCTTATACCTTTTGCACAATACTAAATTGCTTTTTAACTGCATATATAATAGGCAAAATTGCAATCTTAAAAATTGCCCAATACGGCAGGATTAAAACTTTTGCAGTTTTGGTTTGATTGACCTTGTGTATGGACAGTTGAGGTACATGCAAGCTACTGTCCATGTCCACTTACACCGACTTCAGAAAAGCTACAAAACATTTTAACATTAAAATTGTTTTTGATTTAGAAGTTAACTTTCAGAACAGCAGGAATGTTTTATGGCACACTTTCCAAGAACTATGGCGTATAGTTTACCTTTTTATCTCGGACATATCATTTATCATTATAACTTCCTTTTGATAAGAAATGACCTCTTCCGTTGATACTGCATGTTCTCTAAAACTATCCTTTTTAACCATTATCAAAATTTAGGTTACACACAGCATCTTTTTTCTGCGTGTAGACTTTTCTTAAAGGTTTGTATTGCGTTAAGTTAAACTTGTACGTTTACATTATATGAAAGAATTTTTCTGGAAACTGTTTATTTTAGAATATACATTCGGTATCTCATGCATATTTTTTAAAACCGCGATTTGATCAAAAGCAGCATCTAGGCAGACGATTAAATGTGAGCTTACATACGTTTTTGCTTCTACAAAATTCTTCATAAGTCGGTTAACTTTTTCTAAAAGAAAGTAGAAGAAATAGCTTTGACCTACATTTTGCATGATTTTCTGAATTATTCAAGGCAATTTGATAAGAACACTACATCGTATAATTATTTTCAGTGCAGAAAGGTTTGGTCTGAATCTAGGTCAAATATATCCTAAAAGCAAATGATATTAAACATGAATCTTTCTGCATGGCTTGGCATGGTGGCAATGGCTAAATACTTACAGGCTCGGCAGGTTAAGGGTTCGGTTAAGATTACGCCGAGTTCTGAAATAACAGTTGCTATTGTATATATTATAGCACTTACTTCCGATTGAATTTGCAACTTTGTCATCGCGCTGTCTTACGTTACAGTTCTTTGTTATTCAGTCAATTTATATTTTATCATTAAAATATATTCTGCAAGATGGGCTTGCAACACCGACTTTGAGGGTTTATTGGAATAAGTTGATAACAAGAGACATATTACAGAATGATTTAATTTCTTAATGCATATCCAGACGTTACATTGTTTTACAAAATTATAATATATATTTTATATCTTCATATATATAAGAAATAGGTTTCTGGGAGGAACATTATTTCTGTTGGCGCTTTCAATGTTGGATAGTAACGTATAATATTATTCATGTATATTTCATGTGATTCAAAAAAGAATTGTTGTGTAATAGCAGCTGTTTTTTTTATTATTATTTCACGATATCAGAAACAGCCTTAAAATAGACACTGTACTTAATTTCTTTGATTATTTCAGATATTTTACAAGCAAAATCAGAGACAGGGAAGGATTTCGACTTGTTCTTCCCGAGGTAGTCTTTTTCTGAATTTAAACACTATATAAACATTGTCCAACTGTCTTTCGAGAAGTTTTTATATCATGATGACGGTTAAGCTATGTAACACCGCACTATGGGATCAACCACACTTTGGGGTCCAACCCCAAAGTTATAAATTCATAAATATATTCGTACAATAGTTAAATTCATAACTTAGAATAATTATCGTCAGCATCGCTATCTAATTTTCATTCATTTTTTTTTCTGTTTTGCGTTTCACTGGGTAAAAGTGAATGACTATTAATAGTTTTGAAATGTTAAATATCATCTCCCATTTAACTTTTTTCCCCCTGATAAAATATTTGATTTTTTTAAAAAAGGAACCCTCATTTTTTATCTTTAATTTTAAATAGTTATTTTTTTACATCAGTTTCAGTTGACGAGTGTATGTTTTTGGTTCATCCCGAAATCTTTGAGAGGCCGCGAAGAGACAACCGAGTGGTGGGATGCGGTGTCCAAGGTCAGCTTGTTAAAACTTTGTATACCACATATTGAAAAGTTTTAAAAACTGTCTTTTTTCCATATATTTTCACGATTCGTTTGAAAGTCATCAATTTGTATTTATCACTTCATATCTATCATGTCCATATTTCTGTAGTTTTGTACAGAACTATAACAAGTTCTTTCTTACTTTTTATACTTGTAATATACTAAAGAGGAGATTCTTCTGTCATAAGTTCAAATAAGTTAGCAACAGCCATTATTTGTTACTACTTTTGACTTTTGTGAGTTATATTTAGAAATAGGATGAAAGGCAAAATGGCCGATACGACACTACGTCATACGGTAACTTCGTCTGCGTTTGCGACCTTTTCGGCAAAGCAGTGTCATATATGTGTGACGAAATCATGACCAAAACGTGTTTCCCTGGTGTTCAATGAAAACTTTATGTGGTACAAACATCATTTGTAGCAAGTTCTATTATCTTTATATGTAAATATTTTTTTTGTTTTTGTTTGGATTTACGGCGCACCAGCACAGTTTAGGTCATATGGCGCCGAAACAAGTTCATTTTGGCCAGCCAAGGGTGTTACAAACTTTTGGCCAAAACCACTTCACCTGCTGGAGCTAAAAGATACTACATAGACTCCAATAATACGGACCCATTAAGTCGCATCTTACGAATGGTGGCAGCAATTCTTATGCCTTAACCCGCAACTGCAACCCCTCAGCCACAAGGGGTTTCCTAATTTTGTATTTAGAATTCAGAAGATATGGTCATTTTGATAAATAAAAAATCCTATCCTGTTTCAGGTTGGTCCAAAGATTAAAGAGAAAATGCTATGTGAGGGAACTAAATGATAAACTCCTATCCCGTTTCAGGTTGGTCTAAAGATTAAAGAGAAAATTCTATGTGAGGGAACTAAATGATAAACTCCTATCCCGTTTCAGGTTGGTCCAAAGATTAAAGAGAAAATTCTATATGAGGGAACTAAATGATAAACTCCTATCCCGTTTCAGGTTGGTCCAAAGATTAAAGAGAAAATGCTATATGAGGGAACTATTTGATAATTGATAAACTCCTATCCTGTTTCAGGTTGGTCCAAAGATTAAAGAGAAAATGCTATATGAGGGAACTATTTGATAATTGATAAACTCCTATCCTGTTTCAGGTTGGTCCAAAGATTAAAGAGAAAATGCTATATGAGGGAACTATTTGATAATTAATAAACTCCTATCCTGTTTCAGGTTGGTCCAAAGATTAAAGAGAAAATGCTATATGAGGGAACTATTTGATAATTAATAAACTCCTATCCTGTTTCAGGTTGGTCCAAAGATTAAAGAGAAAATGCTATGTGAGGGGACTATGATGATGGGATATCAACCTCTTCAGTCGAAAGGCCTTGTTAACTTCTTTAGACTCGTTGTTGGAAATACCAAGTGCAACTTTTCTGACATGGACTTTGTTATTTCAGAAATAGAGCGATATGGCGCCGATTTATAAAATCAAGTTTTCACAAAACTAAAATTTGAAAATATTATATAATTTATATGGTTATAGGTGTTTTGTTATTTTTGAAATAACATATATATCGAGATCTACATATATATCTATTACGAAATAAAAAAAAGGATATTTGCAGCATTTTTTTTAATTCATAATTTTAAAATCCCCTATGGAAGTTACGTTTATTTTTGTTTGTTTGTCTTTATTCATCCAGCAGACTTCCAAGCCCTGTACTTTACACCAGTGTTTTTATAATTTTTCTCGGATTCTTCGGAATAAATTGTTCCAATAAGGCGGTGCTAGGGGGGCTGAGCTATTGAGATCTTGTTTCTGTGACCACCGTTGATTACAATCATTAGGAATTAATAGTCTGTCTCTTACGGAGAAAATTGTTAATTACTTGTTAGTTGTCCACGAAAGCCGTGCATGTGAACAAAGACCGAGATATGACTCAAATTGTTTTAAAAATCGGCTTAAAAATGTGAGTAATAAACAAACATCGAATCAAACTAAGTTATCTATCGGATTGTTGGCTGTAATTGAACTATGATCCAAGGTTACAATTGTTCCGTTACGAACCATTATAGGAAAGTGCATGAACAATATATTTCTAGAAAATTTACACAAATACATAAACCTAAAACAAACTAAAATTATATGGTTTCCAATAACGTTCCTTGTTATATCTCTGTCATAAGTTCTATGTCTTGAACTTGATAAACGTTCAATGTTTAGAATTCCCAGCCAATGGAATTTGCAATCATTTCTTCGGAATCTATATATTAGCATGGATTCTAATAATAGAACTTGTTTATGTAAGTACAGAATTTATCTTAAAAGTATGACAGGGGAAAGGTCAGTTTTATTTGTTCCTTTGTTTTGGTTTAGATTTTAATCACACCAAAATTGTAAAGGTCGTATGACACCCCTTTGAGTATTATTACACCGTCGGCCACCCCGAGTAGAACAACCAATATTCCCTAAGTTATAGCTGAATAATTGCAGTAGTAATCCAAAGTGTCAGAGAAGGCTCGAATCTAGAATCTACAGATGTGAGGGCATGTGATTTGAAGTCAGGAACATAAATATGACGTTAGGCTTATGATACCTTTGCAAGATGGATAACACTGGTGAAAAATTAAGATAAATCAACAAGAAATGCATTTTCAACAGTTTTATTATTGTCACAATTTTAGCGATTGACAAAATGAAGTGGCAATAAACATAATTCACATATGAAAAGCAGTTATAATGAATAACACTCATGGTAGTGGTGATTTATCACACGTTTGTATCACAGGTGCGCAAAAAAACAGGAAGTGACGTCATTCTGTCGGTATCATGGCAGACCGAGGTGGATTAAAATGACGTCACTTCCTTGAAATCATGGTGAATGGTAGATGCCTAATCACAACAAGTACGTCAATAAGTAGTATGATATCATTCCCTGATCATAAATGTGATGAAAAAAGGAATGTAGCTTTATGTTGCAGACGATCTCTGTTTTGAAAAAAAAGGTCATGAGTAAAAAATAAACGAATAAACACAATCCTCGACAAACAATCTCTTACACTCTAGTTACAGCGGATGTACACAGACTGTCTTCATTGGCTTCATACGAACACCTAAGTGCTTCAGGCGAAACATCTAAGCATTCAGTTGTTGCTTTTATTTAAAATCCTTGTTTAAACTTATTACTTCAGCCAACAAAGCGTCGAAAGCTTTTGGGTAGCTGTATTTAAATGTATATTATGAGTATATTATGAATTTGATGGGTGTTTTTCTTTTCTTTAGTTCTTTGAGTTAGCAAAGCAGACCGGGCCTAATGTCACACCGAACTTCTGATCCGCTCCTCCGCCGTCGCGGAAGTGTACATCAACGACCGGCAACAAAGCCGGTTTCCTTAGTTTCATGTAAATCTTGGACCATCCTGCGTTAGCGTTGCCATTCTGCAAAATGGTGGGAAAAACACAATTAGTTATGTTTCATATTCATTTGTTAATCTTACAATTTCTTTAATACATGATTAACCATTAAAATTAATGGAGTATTTTTTTACAATTATTGGGTACGAAGATCACAGTTTAACGAAATGCCGTCTAAAAATTTTACTTCCCAAAACATTCTTAAAAACAATTTACTAACATATGCTTTAGCTTTTATTTTGAAGTCATATACAGTAGGCATACACTATATCCATCTCAGAAGTATAAATCAAATGGTTATTAAGGTTAAAAACGAGAAGATATAGAGAGAGAATAATTTGCATACCATACATCCGTCTTCTGTTTCGCTGACAGAATATTTAAAGTTTCCTTTCCTCTTCCTTCGGCCTCCAGGATTTATAATATCATCATTAAATCCTCGTAGATTAACAGCTTTGTCGTAAAGTTGAGTACGGCTGTCGTAGTAGGCGACGGTGTTGGTACAGTTTATGTAGACCTCTTGGCGTACGAGATTACTCACACTTGCAAGACTGTTGATCTGGCTAGCCGTGGCATCATATCTAAACATGAAGTCATCCTGGTGTGCGAGAAAAGTAAGAATGAGAAAAGGGAAACAAAAAGTAGAGAATATGATCAAAGGGATAAAAATAGAGCATGGAAACAAAAAAAAAAGAACATGAAATATTTTTTAAGAAATGGAAAAAAGATTAGTCTAAAAAAATAATTTGACCATACAGTAAATTCCGCTTAAAACGATATTCAGGGACCGCCGAATTCATATCCTTCCGAAGATCGTTATATCCGAAAAGCAACCGATTTGAGACCTCGAAAACAGCATCGTTTTAAGCGGTATATCGTTATAAACGATATCGTTATAAGCGTATTTTACTGTACTTTACGCTGTTAGCTGCTAAATCGATGTATTTAGATATTCAAATCCCTTAACATTAAATTGAACAGTCAAAGCCGGACACACCAGAAGCACCATTTCAGCAGGATTACACTTTAAAAATTATCTTACTTCACTAAGAATTGTTTTACAGTCATGTCATACTGCAAACAGAATAAGCTGTATTATTTTAGACATAAATATAAGTTTTAAAGTCTTACAGGATGATCACCATTCAATGCTTCCTTCTGGATTTCTGTGAACCAGCGGTGGCGACTCAAAGGCTCTTTCACCCATTGGTTAAGAGCAAACTGGAAAACAATATGTATTTTGTGAATATAGATCTGACACTTTTATAAAACAAACAAAACGTGCAAGATTCTGTATTTAAAATATATATAAATAACAATTCTAAATATATATACATATTTACATGATAATGTCTTATTTAACTAAGATTTGTGTTTGTGAAAATTTAAAGAGAGGAATGTGTTATTATGTTACTCATGTTGTATTGTTAAAAGAATATGTACTTCATAAAATTATATTCTCTTGTTATAGAATATGGGTTTGCTAAATTTAATGTGCCGTTGTTATGAAAATATGTACTCATAATAAGATTCTGTACACATGTACTTTATACGATTATCTGCTATTGTTATAAGAATATGTACTTTACAAGATTCTGTGCCGTTCTTATAGGAGTATGTACTTTATAAGATTATGTAATGTTGTTATCAGAATTTATGCTGATAATATAAGAATTGATTCTCATGTTATAAGAACCTCTACTGATGATTGTTTCAAACAAGTTTGGATATCATAAAAAATGTCGGCTGGTGGCATAAAAATTCAATATGCGCTGCTCCTATAACATTTTGTGCTAACGTTAAAGAAAACTGTGTTGAATGTGCTGACGCCATAGAAAGTGTGTTGAATCATGACACAGCTTGACTTTGAATGCAACAAAATAAATATGGTTTCTAAGGTTACCTGTTTAGAAGGATAGATACAAGTCCAAGAAACAGATTTCTTGAAGTCGCATGACACCTGGTAGGCTTTGTTGTTGGAATAGGCATCCGGAATAATCCAGATTTTGTATGGTAAATCTGAGATAAACGAACAAAAATTGTACATAAAATCATATGTATCTGCTGTAGGATATCTCCAAAGTCTGTATACTAATTTATTTTGAGTACCATTTTTAATTTAGAGACAAACATATAGATCTATTTACGGTCAAATAATGTTGTGATTATTTTATAGGAGTATTGTAGAAAATATGGGGGAAAACCCCTTTATTTATAAAGCTGTACAGCAAATACACCTCAGAATAGAACCGGAAATCATGACATCAAGTACTTTTTTTTTGGCTTTCCAAACTTTGACCCTTTAGCCCTGCTAAGACCGAAAATGATTAAAACCTTTTCCAGACTAGTCTGCAAATAGCACAGATTTATATTTTGATTTTGAAATCCGTTACATAAATTCGGCAGTTGTAAGGGTTAATCATCATTATGAGGTGGCATATTCAGTAATGACAACGTGATACAAGTTGATGTAAACAGTTTTTCGACAAGTACCTCTCTTTTTAAGACCATCGACTAACTCTGTGTTGTGTTTTCTAAAGTCATCACAAGATGCTGCTGGTGCGTCTCTTTCGCCAGTTGGGGACTTCAACTTCTTTACAATCTTATCGACCTTGCTAAGAGTATCCAAAGCTTGTTTCTCCTGAAATTAAACAACCCAACAATAATCCATAGTTTTACTCCCATGTCATGCAACGCGTTTTTTATTGGCTGCTAGTTTTCATATTCTAGAATATTCAATAATCGCGTCATTTCATTGGCTCCAATGCACAAAAATGCAACGCATAATTTAATTGGCTAATAGAATGATATTCAAACATTAATTTTACGTAACGCTTAATTTGATGATTGAGATTAGCAACCGTTTATTTTTCAATAGCATTTAAAGGACTTTAAGACTCAAATTGTAATTAAAGTCATGATGCAACATACCTTCAATGACAGAAAGAAACAAACAAGTTAACAAAGAAAAAGGTCATAAACAAACCAGCACACAAAAGAAAGAAAGGAAGGAAGGAAGGAAGGAAGGAAGGAAGGAAGGAAGGAAGAAAGGAAGGAAGAAAGAAAGAAAGAAAGAAAGAAAGGAAAGAAAGAAAGAAATAAACTTACCTCCTCTGGGGCGTTGGCATCAGCCTAAAACAACAAAAGAAAACACCATTTAATCAAAGTACTGTGGGCACTTTTGCACTGTCAAAAAATGAATTACTTGCATGTTTAAATGGTACTATTTTATTCATTTATTTAACAGAACAGTTTTATAATAACAATCATGATTCTGTGTTACAAATGGTAATATAATCCGTAATTTAACTGATCATGTTGTTGATCAAATAAGTAATATAACTTAATTCTATATTTAGAACAGATACACTTGGTTTGGCTAAAGGCTTTACCTGGAACGGGTTTCCTTTGTAAGTGTTGGATCCGAACATTGCACCAAGGGCGTTAGCGTACATAGGTTGTCCTGGTGGTCCCTGCAATATTATAACTGGAGTATATTTACATTCATTTAAAAGTTTGGATTTGTGCCCAGATTGCTAACTTTTTTCAGTAGAAAGTTGGAATGTTTTTTAAATGCATGTTTAAGAATAAAAGCCGTTCAAATTCGAAACCAAACATTTTTTCTGTACTAGTATTTCATATGTTGAAAGAATTTGAAAATTTTGTAATACTAGGTATATGTAAGAATAGTTTAAATCAATTCTACCTACAGAGACCAAAATGTCATATGAAAAAATAGGAAAAAGCCTTGAACATAAGAAAGTGAATTTTAGGGGAAATGCTCGAAGTTAACTTACGGGAGGTCCTGGTTGACCCTCTGGGCCAGAGGGTCCGGAACGACCATCTTCTCCCTCGGGTCCGCGACGACCCTGAATACAAAAATATATACAAAATAACAATAACAGTATATTTGCAAAGATACATTAATATGCAAAGCTTACATATGGGAATATAACTAATGAAAAATAATAAAAGTTTGATTTTTTTCACAGGATTTATCTTGAAAAATTAAACTTCTTTACCAAGATAGATAATCAACATCTGACACTTAGAGCAAAAAATATATTAAAATATAACAAATAAATATATTGATAAGTTTAAATTGAATTTTATTATCGTCCATAAAGAATAAGATATTCACCATAAATTAGTGTGATATAAAAATCATAACATTTTATTATTTGTACGCGTCTTCGTATGTATTTTGTAAGCAAACAACTTAAGACAAAGGAAACAATTCTGAAAATTGCTTTAAAAAAACAAGAAGCTTTGTTAAAAAAAATATTCTGATTTTAACATTATTTTTTGTCTTTTTTTTTGATAATGTATGTTTGATTTAAAGTAGATATATTTACAGGCGGTCCTGGAGGTCCGGGTAATCCTGGTTGTCCGTCTAGACCGATTGATCCTCTAGGTCCTTCTGCACCCTGAACATTGATATGATTTCATTTTACATCTAATCAGCACAAAAAACAACAACAACAACAACAATAAAAACAAAACAAAACAAAAAACTTATAAAAATATTTAATATGATTAAAATCAGCTAATGATATGCAAGAACTAATTTAAGTAGATCTGAACTTCAGTCAGATAGTAATGATTGATTTTTATATTAAGATGAAATATTCTGTTATTGAAAATCCAATGCTTACTTTATTAAAGCTTCTTTTTAAGTGTAGAAATAATCAAACAGAAAGGCAAAATCACTTTTAAGACACTGCAAGTGATATGTGTTGTAATACGGTGAAGGTATTAGAATTATATTTCATGGAGACTTACACGTTGTCCAGGGGGTCCTGGAGGTCCTGGAAGTCCATCGTCACCCTGTAAGCCCTCTGGTCCGGGCAAGCCCATGAGACCAGAAAGTCCAGTCATACCCTTGTCTCCCTAAATGATGATAAATTCAAATTCATCTCTCAATGCAGAACACAATATTCTTACATTTAAAGGCCCATTAAGCCTCAGAAACGCTATAATTATATATTTTTTTATAAACTTTTCATTTTCGATGTCCTGTTATAATTTCAAAAAAGGTACTCACAAGCCAGTATAGATAACACAACTTTTGCTTCTTTTACGTTTTAGCAATGGGTACAGTGATTAAGTATTTTGTATGGTCAAAACACTACTTTGTTTACATTTTGCTACCTTTATGACATATTCTTTCTCATCCAGTAATATTTTCTTTAGGTGAGAACATATCATATGTTCTAAATACATTATTGCAACATTTAAAAACACACATATTTGTCCTTTCTGCAGAAGGAAATAAAATCATTTCTGAGACATAATGCGCCTTTAACGACCGTTACAGTGCATGTAAATATAAAGAAAACAGCATATATTATAAAACATTTGCTTTGTATTATTTTATATCCAAACAAACGTATTTAACTTACAAAATGGGATAATGGGTACACTCTGTAATAATCCATTGAATTGAAACTATTTGCGGGACATTATATTTCAAATCGTCTTCATAAAAAAGATAATTAAAAATTATAGAAAGTATGTTTGAATGTTTTTCAAGTTATGATTAAAAATAAATATTTTGTTTTTAATTTTGTAACATCAGGTTATAGCAAGACTTAATTCCGTAAAGTACGTACTGTATCTCCGGAATCACCAGTTTCTCCGGGTAGGCCTTCTGCTCCTTGTGGTCCCTGGAAATTGTTTCGGGGAAAATTTGATTTAATAACAAATAAGCAGACGACATTTTTTAGCAGGCAACAATTTTCCTAGCAAAGAACTCAGTTTGTACAACATCTATAAACATTACGCTTTAATATAAAGTCTTAAATAATACATGAATATTTATTTATTTATATTAAGAATTTTTGAAGATTTATCAACAGTTCTCCGTGTTTCTGTGTTCATTTTACCCTTTTGCCCCTAATTGATAAATCTGAAATTCCGTTCAACTTATTTTGAAATAAACTTATTTTATAAGCTCAATCAGATTTAAGAACAAAACATACCATTTCTCAATTATTCTAAAATCTTATTTGTATGTCTGTCTGAATGTATTTATTTATTTATTTATTTACTAGTATTGTAAAACAAATGTATCGAACTTACAGGTGGTCCTCGAGGCCCACTTGCTCCAGTTGTGCCAACAGGTCCAGTCTCTCCCTGTAGATAATAATAAAGTGGTTAGTAAAATGTGTACCCTCGGTTTCTAAAGTTTAGTTTGACAAAAACAGTAATAAAGGTCCTTGACTTGAATATACATATATAGCTTTGTAAGTTATTGTCCTGAACAACAGCTTTGGCACGTAAGGTGTTTGCATAAAAGAAAAACAAAGTATGTTACATTTTACATGTAATATATGGCTTTTGATGTAACAAATTTAGTTGTTTAGTTTTGTGTGTGTTTTATATCAAACTTACCATCTCTCCTCTTGGTCCACTGGGGCCTGAAGGTCCGCTTGGTCCTGGTGGTCCCTGTTGGAAAATAAATATATAACATATATAAATATCATCAATAAGTACCCTCTAAAGTGATAAAAAAGCAAAATTGAGCGCAATGGAAAAATAAAAGTAAAATTCAAGAAGTTTCATTATTTTCTTTGTTTAGTTGGTTCGAACCTACAGGGTGAGGGGCAAGTGGTTTTAAGTCAACGACCTTTACCATTCTGTCACGGACGCCCTAGTTAAATTGTCATATTGCTAATAATTTTGGCTCAGTGTTATTATAATACACTGTGCACGAGACCATATGCCCAGTAACTCGGCGTCTTGAAATTCATCCTTCGAAGATTTGTATTATTTCGGGAAAGTTGGATTTAATAAGAAATAAGCAGACGACATTTTTTAGCAGGCGACAATTTTCCTAGCAAAAAAGTAGGCCTAACTCATTGTCTTGTTATTCACCTTTTCACATCTTTTTATTCTGAGAGTATTGGATAATTGAAAATAATAAGCAGACGACAATTTTCCCAGCATGCACATTGTTAAATAAAAACGGAAGTGATCCGGCTGAGAATGTAAAAATTGAAATTACCATGAATCCGGTACCTCCTGGAGGTCCTGGAAGTCCTTGGTCTCCACCCATACCGCGCTCACCTCGTGGTCCAGCCAAACCTGGGAGTCCATCATGACCTGGGGGTCCCTGTTTTTGAAACAAAAGTAAGTTAAGATACTATGACTAGTGAAATAACATGGTCAGCAAATAGTGTACTATCAAACTGTAACATTGGCAAAAAGTATCTAATAGGTTCTGTTAGTTATGAGTAAGTAAAAAAACTTTTACTTACAGAATCACCTTGGGCTCCTGGAGGTCCTGGAAGGCCAGTTGGTCCTGGTGCTCCCTGTGGTCCTTGAATACCCTCGTCTCCCGGTCGTCCGGGCTCTCCCTGAGCTCCCTATATATATACAATTACAAATATGTTGTATTGTTGAGGACTGGTTATTTCTAGGAAATATCATACACATAAGGAATTATTACATAAACAAATGTATCTAGTTTGCTCCCATCAATTTTGAATACAGTGAAACTAACCGTGGCGTAAGAAAACGAAGAGAAAAAAATAGTCCAGTGCACAGTCCTTGCGCCAGTTACGTCATACTTGCTATATTGACAATACTGATCAGTGGAAATAATCTATTCGAAAAGTTCAGCCCAATTTTATAGATTTCTTGTCCTTTCTAATAACAAAATAAAACAAATAAATGACATACCAAATCACCAGCTCTACCCATCGGTCCGGTTTCACCCATAACTCCTGGAAGACCGGGTTCGCCTTGGTCTCCTGGTCGACCTGGGGAGCCCATGGGTCCTGGTGGGCCCTGAAATTAAGTAGACAATAAAATATTAAATCTTTGCCAGAACCAATTATATAACATACATTTCTTATATTACTTACGTTATTACTGCCTATATAAATAAGCAATCAGACGAATGTATCAATGACTTTTTAAGCATGTTCAATTCCAAGTTTCACGTTATAACTAAATTAAATATGTCAATATTGAAATAAACTCCTCAAATCTTCAAATGAAATATAATAATAATAATTCATATGTAAAAATCTGTTTTAAATATAAATCACTTGTTCTATATTCCTCTTATAATATCAAAGTATTCAGTTTCTTGCGGATACGTATTCCTAAATAGTTTGAAGTTCTTGCATGGATTTCCTATTGAAATGGTTTTTTAATTTACAGATCGTCAACATGAACAGCAAGTTATATTTATCTTTAACATAGAGTGACTTACTGATTCGCCAGATTCTCCTTGTTGTCCCTTCTGTCCTGGGTATCCTGCTAGACCAGGTACTCCTTGTGCACCTTGTTGACCCATCTGGCCATTAGGTCCGCGTGAGCCCTTAATACCATTGTCGCCAGGAGATCCTGGAGGTCCCATCTCTCCCTGTTGACCTGTATTACCCTGGGGGCCTGGTCGTCCTGTAGCTCCGGTCTGACCTGGTATACCCTGAGATCCGGTGTCACCGCGTGATCCCTTGGCGCCGCGGACTCCACGTCTTCCCTGTGTGAAAATATTACAATATTCATGTACACGATATTCATGTACAGATAATTCTCACCCCGAACTGAACAAATGGGTAAAATATATATGCCCATGAACTACTTCTTTCGGTCCTGATGCTTCATGAAGTCATGCAAGAAAAATATTTTTCTGCCTGGAAAATGTTTGTAATTTTTATGTAATAAAGACATTATACATGTTCTTACAATATATTTGAATCGGAGCTAAGTTTGACTTTCATGTTAACAAAAAGTAAACTAAAATGATTACTCTTTGCAACTGATTTCAGAAAAATTAGCAATAACTGTTTTAGCTTAAGCAGGGTTGATATTATGGAATATTTTTATTTTGGGACTGGTCGTAAGCATATCGACTATTTAGACATACCGTGGGTCCAGGCTTTCCTGGAGGTCCGGATTCGCCGGGTTCGCCTTCTTGACCTTTCTCTCCGGCTTCTCCAGTAGGTCCTTTGTGACCTGGAGGTCCAGCAATGCCCTGTAAGTATAAAATGTCTAATTAAGTGTCAATAAAATTATTTCATTCAAACGACTTTTTATCCAAAATTTCAAACTACCACACATCTTCGTCATGTCGGATGTTTCTTGTACGACAACAAAAATAGAATATACTAATATGCCAATATACTTTTGTTTAGTGAAGAAGTATCTTGTAAGTCAATAGTGACCATATGACTCTGAAACATATTTTTTAATTAGAGATCGTAAAATTCAGAATAAGGTCAAATGCCAAATAATAGAGCCATACTGTACAAGTCACTAAAAAAACGAGAAAAAAAAACGACCATGCACATTATTATTCTGTCCGTCACTGGATCATAAAATATCATTTTTCACGCCTGATAACGATCGAATAACTAACAAAAATATTGAAATTACACAAAATGTAAACATGAAGATACATATTCAATGTGATTTTACACGAACCGTTAATAGATATGATAATTTTAAGAACTAATCCACTTACAGCTTGTCCTGGTGGTCCGTCTTCACCAGCTGGTCCGGCTTCACCTCTTATTCCCTCGTCACCACGATTACCGACTGGTCCCTTTGCACCAGGATCTCCTTTCTCGCCCTTTCGTGGGGCTTCTCCTTCGGGGCCTGGTATTCCAGGTGGTCCAACGAGACCACTGGGTCCGGGTCTACCTGGGCGCCCATCTTCTCCTGGCGGGCCGGAGTCTCCCTGAAAGAGTCAGTGACACATTTCGTGGCTATTTTTTTTCACTTATAAAGTTTTTATTGTGTAAGTACTTTTTTAGTTACTATTATTTATACAAGCGTTTTATTGTGGTTTTTATTTAATAATTCCACTTTGCTTTTTCATTTAAGTACATGAAATAACTAAATACACTTATTAATTCACCTTTGCCCTGTGATTTAAGTAATAATAACAAAATACTAGTAACTTAATCATTGACCATTTCTTCTTCAGTTATGTAATAACTGCATACACTTCCTATTTCAGCTTTGCCTTTTTATTAAAGTAATAACAACGTACACTTATAAGTTCACCTTTGTCACTTCATTTAATAACTTAATACACTTACAAGTTCACCCTTGCCTCCGGACGCTCCTGGGGGTCCACGTGGCCCTTGTTGACCCTAAAATGATAAAATAATTCCAGAAAATATGTAGATATTCACATCATATAAAAACACCGCAATGATAAATTCAATATTTTTGTTATTCCGCCATTACAGGAAAATCTTCGGAACGTAGTAACCATTTTAGCAGTCTAGAATATTTTTTTTGAAAAGAGAAATTTATGAATAATTTTAAAGAACGAAAAGATCCTTTCATAAAATGAGTGAAAAAAATACCATCAATACAATTAAAGAAAATGTTTACTTTGCGTTATTTTTGTTACAGCTTTTTTACTCACAGGCATGCAAGTTCATATGCTTCAGCGCTTGGCTTGCATTGAGATATCATTATATTTAGCCTTTGCAAACAGTTCTGAAACAGTTCGGTTCCAGTCGCCGAGTAGGCCTTCCACAGCATCTTACTAGGTACTTGGTAGTCCAACTACTGGTAATTGTACTAATCGGTCTAATATTGTGCTATTTTGATGATGGGCATTATCTCCCCCACTATAAGCGAGATTCTGACCCAGAACAAGAAATATCTCAAAATCTAGCTTTGGCACGAGAACATATTTTGACAAGTAACATGGCTGCTTGGCGGTAATCTATTTATAGAAAACTGCAGACGACAGATTTCAAACATCAGAGAATTTCTATACCAAAACAAAAAAGGCTAAATCCGTGTGGCAAAAACTTTAACTTACAATGTTTCCTGGGGCACCAATATCGCCCTTGGGTCCAGCATCTCCAGGCATACCCTAAAACAGAAAACATCCGTATCATTTTGCTTGAAAATATATATCCTTGTTAATTTCCTCTACTATACCAACAATTTTATCTTCTATGTTATACTTGTACATTTTGTTATTAACGTTTTCTACTTCTGCCTCTTTAGAGGAACAATAACATCATCTTGACTGCCATTCAAAAGTTCAGCTTGCATTCTTTAAATTGATTTACTTTCAGATTCAAAAACAGACTGGTCTACTTTTTTTAGTCAATTATTTCTTTTTCAGAATGGCCTTTTTTAGATACTTTCGGTTTGACGGCATATGTTTGATCAAACTTTTTATCAGAGTCAAACATTCTAAGATATTTCTAGTCTAAGGTATACTTACTCTGTGACCGTCACGACCTGGCGGACCGACCGATCCAACCTCTCCTGGATCGCCGACGGCACCGGGCGGACCTTGTTCTCCGGGGTAACCTCTCTCTCCCTATGTAAGAACAGAATAGAACTTTATTATCTCAAATCAATGCAAAGACAAATGAGAGTCCGGAATAAATGCGAAATTTAAAATACATCACATGTGGTTTGTGCAAAGAGATTAAAAAGCGATACTTTGAGTCATTTTAAATATTCTGTTAATAAGATAAGTACATGTGAAAGGTGACTAAGAGATCGTAGATTCGAATCTATTAGGGTCACTGCGTGTTTAGTTCTCTGTCCCCTTTATGACACCAGTAATGGTTACTTCAAAGAAGTAGAAACGAGAATTATTTCAGACAACCCCTAGATCTTTCATGGCAGTGGGGCAGAAATTGATTTGTTTAAACTAACAATATTTGACAATAGTATTAACGGTTTTTAATATTGGTATAACTACTATTGTCCATACCTATAGCTATTAGTTATATTTTTCAATCATTTATTGCATTATAATACTTACAGTTGATCCTGTTCGACCAGGCATTCCAGCTTCTCCGGGTCGTCCGGCTTCTCCTGGCACGCCAGCTTCACCTGGTGCACCTTGCATGCCTGGTGCTCCCTTTGAAAAAAACACACACACACTTTTTTAGAAAATTTCCGACATGCAGTTTTATAAACAATATGTCAGCTTTTACAGTCGGAACAAATGTTTTTGAAATAAGTTAGTTTTTTAATTTTACTTACACTCTACCCGTTTAAAATGATTAATGAGATTCTGTCAAAAAAAGAATGCAATTTCAGATAATCAAAAGAAAAAAGTTTTTCATTAATTTAAATATATAATTCATTTAGTTACCTGGAAACCTGGTGGTCCAATATTGCCCTCTGGTCCACGTTCACCCTCAAAGCCCTAAAATTTAAATCAGACAAGCGTGAAGGGATCTGTTTGCATATTTAATTATCAAATTCTAGTTTTTTAACCTTTAAATTGAAATCAATCGTTAATATATTTGTATATTTTGCGGCAAAGTGATTTAGGGAAATAATTTCAAAACTGGACTTACAAGACTGAATTAATATAGGGAAATAATTGCAAACATGGATTTATTGGGAAAAATGTTCCAAAATCAACGTATAGGTAAATAATTGCCAAGTATGAACTTACGTGAAAAAAACATTGTTGTTGCAAAAATGAAAAAATAGTAGACTGTGTATATAGTTAGACAATTCATCGGACCAAGTGAAAAAAAAAGCAACAACAAAATTAGGCTAATAGGGGAAATAAATAGAGGATATTTGTTTGTTTGTGTGTAAGATGAAATTTTATTTCATCGAGTGCGCTTTAAAAACAGTATTCTCACGAGTGGCTCACGAGTGCTTAAAAACAAGTAAAAACGAAATTTCCATAATTTTAACGTTAATATTAAAATCTGTTTTTCCCATTGAGAGCCCCATTTAGTCGGAATTTCTCATTAAAAACAAGAAGTCTTGAGCTGAAAAATAAGTCCGCCAATCAACGTTAAATGACGGTGATATTTATTCATTTTATTAAAAAATATGAATGATCGCTTGTTTTAATAATAAAAACGAACAATTCTTGTAGGAGAAAAAGTCCAACCATCCATCCATATTTCTGTTACTTTCTGCGAATTTATATTAGACCTGGCTTTGTAAAATGTAAACGGCAGCCATTTTTTAAAGTTGTGTATTACATGGGAGGAAAATAATTGTGTAAGATTCAGAGGGATATAATTTGGATTTGTTAGTCATACACCTTTTTAAAAGAAAGAAAACTTATTTGAGAATTGTAACAGACAAAAAATAACAGATGTGAAAACATTCAAAAAAGGAGCTAGGAAAATGACACACTTGGAAGCTTGCTCATGGAACGCTGGGTTATTTTACTTATTTTTCGAGTGATGGCTGTCAATGCTTTTCAATTTTTCATTAAGCATACGGCAGTTATTGCTCGTAGGATACTTTAATATGCCCAAATGACATCAAGAGCAGTTTTGCATGGGGAAGGAATGGATTGGATTTTTCTGACTGTAAAAATGAAACAAAAAAATTTAGAGACGAAATTTGATGATTGGAATTTGAATTAATAGAAGTAAGTTTTCTTCTTTTTATTACTTTTGACATTTAAGTTATTTATCAATTTCAGCTTTGCCTTTTCTTGACACAGCCTGACATTGTCAGAATTGTCAGCAAAAATAAAATTGAGGTATCACATGGGGAAAATCTTAAAAAAGTAGTTTCGTCATTGAAAAGTGTGAAATTATATTTTGATAATTTTCACTGTGAAATTATCAAATATAATTTTCACGGATAAATCAGTAATCCACTGAAAAGCATGAAATAAATAGCTTTAATGTTGATATCTGGGACAAATTATAATTTATAAAGAAACTGTCCCATAATTAATTAATACAAATTGTTCTCTTTTACTTACCTGTGGTCCTGGGGCTCCGGGTAAACCGGGACTTCCTGGTGCGCCAGTGTCTCCTACTGGGCCAGGTTGTCCCATTGGTCCGGTCGCTCCATCACGTCCTGGGCTACCCTAACAATATCAGAAAAATAAATCATTATCAGAATAAGCTCACTTTTTACTTTTTCTCACAAAAGTTTTTACTTTATCCGCGCTACCGTCAGTTAGTTCAACTTTTGCTTTAACTAAAGTACTAAGAAAAACACATCAGCCAGTCTATTCTGCGAAGTCCCGGCTCAATTTTTGCACACCAATCCAATGCGTAACGATCCGTGTAATTATGGAAGACTTATATAAATATTTATATATTTATTCATAATCTCTGCAATAAAACATTTGAAACAGGATTCAGTCTAATGCACGCGATTGTTTTTTTGTGTTATTAAATAGAACGGACAGACAAACACTACTGAAGGGAACTTACTCTTGATCCTGGACTTCCGGGTTGCCCGACCAGACCAGGAACTCCCTGGATACCTGGAGGTCCCATCTCACCAGCACGGCCATCGTTACCTGCAGGTCCCTAAAACATACAAGTTTATACAGTTTTATATATTTTATTTCTTTCACACGTTGTAAATCAATCAAACATTACTGTATAGGCAATACTTTTAATGTAGGTTTTAAATTCGTGTTTTTAACGATCAAATTTTCACGTTTTAACTTCATTCATGTAAATAATGGATGCCAAGTGTAAAAATTCTGGTTGAAAATTCCGTACACGTGTCTTTTGGCCACTTGGGTCATTTCTAGAATAAGCTATTAACAGATAAGATTTTTCATTTTTACCTTGTTTAGAGTTGTATGGTGTTTGTGCATGAGTATTTCAGTAAATAAATATTTTATTAAAATGTAAAAAAAAATAACTTACCGGTGACCCGGGTCTTCCTACATTGCCGTCACGTCCCTGAGGTCCGGGTGCGCCCTAAAAATTTACCAATCAACCAATCAATCAATCAATTAATTAATGTGAATTAATCAATCAATCAAACAAACAATCAACCAATAATGAGCGGAGTGAGATTTCTTTATAAGATTTCTTTATTATATCTAATATCTATAACTAATGAACAAAATGTTCTGAATCTTTTATCGTGTTACATCACTATTGTGTATTAAAAAAAAAATCTATTAAAAAGGCAAGAAAAGTCATCCGAATTATTACCTAGCAGTTTTTTCTGGCCTGTCTCCATAATAAAGATTTTACGATATATGAATATTCATGTGTTCATATAAAGTCTTCTTATACTAATTAGCATAATTGAATCGATATAAATAAACATATTCTCATTTTAATTACCAAAATTTAAATCAAACATTTAGCGATGGAAATGACTTTTTACAGGATTTTAACATTTCTAACAGAAAAAAAATTAAGCATGTTAAATGTACTCACTCTTGCGCCAATGGGTCCAGCTCTTCCAGCCGGTCCGGGTCGTCCCTAGAAATTAATTAGAATATTTTTATAATATTTTTATACTTTTGAATTGTTTCTATTTTTTACTGGCATTTTGAATGACGTTATACTTCTATTAAAACTTATTCACTTATAATAATAAGGGTTTTTATAAAAATGATTAAAATGTCAGGTACAAATGCCTTTTTAAATACATTTATTTTAAACTTATTTAAATTTTCAACAATAATTGTTCACAAATTCATTCTGCGTAGAAAAGTTCTAACACCGCTATTGCTGGCGGAGCAATGACAGTAAAAAGCACAGACCACAGAAAATTATCATTTTAAAAATGTGGTGGCGGAAAATTCTGTGTACATTTACCCTGTCAACATGACTGCAATTTTATTGACAGAATAACAATCAAGACAGGCATGGTTATAACAATTTTGATAGGTTTGAGTTCGTGTTAAATAATTAGATCGTTGCCGACTTACAGTTGGTCCGTCAGATCCTCTCAGACCACGTGGGCCTACCGCTCCCGACTCTCCGGCTGGGCCGGAGTCACCAGATGGTCCCGGAAGACCGCGTCCTCCTGGAGATCCCTATATTGTTTAAAAAAAAATGAAATCATTTTTACATTGTATAAAATTGACATAAAATACAATAGCAATAAAGCTATTTTGAAAACCCACAAAACAGAAATGGCACAATTCTAAAAATGAAAACAAACTGACAAATAACTATCTATTTACTTATACAGTGAATATTCTTTCAATCTGAACAAAATTCAACACTAAAACTATTTGCATACTAGTAACCTGTTTCACGAAATATTCCGGAAACAAACGAAAGAGAACGAATATTAACGGAAATTAGAAATAGCTTACCCTTTCTCCTGGTAGACCTTGTGGTCCTTGGAGACCAACTGATCCTGTCTCGCCCTGTAATGGAAAATAAAAAATTTCAAATCAATTATATAAATTCGACTTCTTTGGTACAGCTAATGTTTTACAAATTGCTCTCGGGGTTCTTAATTTTGAAAAACACTAATTTCTTTTCTTTTATTTACAAAAGTGTTCCATCATGAAGATGTTTTATAATGAATATCTTATGTTTATTGTGGAAATTATAATACCCATGTTTTCTATGACAGCTGTAAAACTAAAAGTTTATTAGTTGTTTTTTGAAGCCACGTTTTATTACAAAGAATCACAAGCGGTCAATATCAACAAGACCAATTCTACAAATACCCCCAACTCTGTTAAAACAGAATTAAATGGAAAAAATTGTAGTTTCCGTCCGTTTTGAAATCTCATTTCCGAGAATAAAAACATGTACGTGTACATACCCGCTTTCCCTCGGGTCCACTTTGTCCTGGAGGTCCGCGTTCTCCGTTAATTCCGGTGGCGCCCTTGATACCACGTGATCCTTTGAATCCAGGAGAACCTGGCATACCCTGTTAAAATGCAAAAAAAAAACATAAGAGAAAATGAATTTTAATCTTAATAACGTTAGAACCAAACCATTTGTAATATATTAATTTCTTATATGATTTACATATTGCTGCAATCGCATTGGTCTAAACAGTAGTCAACTATTTATAAGATCATTATAAAAGGCACACAAAACTTATTTATTTACATGCAGCATACAGTTAACGTTATTTTCTTGTCTTAACTCTGAAATACTATTCCATCTATACTTTTCCCGTCAATAATTATTCTTATAATAGTCATTTTATCCAGGATTAGTTAAAACGATACTCACAGAATTTCCCTTTGGTCCATTCGCTCCTGGACTACCGGCTGCACCAGGGGGACCTCGGGGGCCAGGGAATCCTGGTGGTCCTGCGGGTCCAACATCACCCTGTCAAAATTCAAGTTACATCCGAGTAATTAATAAGGAACATTAATTCAATATGCATTCCAAAAACGTGTAGTTTATATCATTCATCTTTTGCTATTCGAATGAACTATCATAAAACTTTCAGCCCATATAATAATCTATTTTGGCTCACAAACATTTCAAGCAAATATCATGTATTTTCCACACACACTTTAAACATGAAAATCCACACATTTTCAATCAATTGAACATAGTTGTGTACAATGTAATTAATATGCAATATAAAGTATAAAATGGGTAACGTGACCTTTATATACAGTTATATATACACAACTGCTGTCTATATACGATTTCCCTAAGAAATGTTTACTGTATTATAAATTCATTATAAATATTTCGGACAGGTTATATGGCCGTATATAAATATTTGTTTGCAATTAAACCTAGCGACTCGGGTTGTGTTTCCAAACAACCGTTTTATAAAGGGCTATAAAAGTTGTAAAAAATCTTTGATAACTAATAATGATTATCAAAATAGTAAAATTACAGATGATCCTTTTTCTCCATTTGCTCCGTCCCTGCCAGAAAGCCCTTGACGACCATCTTCTCCCGGGGGACCAGGTACTCCATTTTCACCACGTGGGCCCTGGGGTCCACGTGCTCCCTTTGGTCCAGAGGCACCAACATCACCCTATTAAATAAGATGTTTTAAAATAGCAACTTAGTCGTATTGTTCGCTTACCAACCCTATTACAAGTAGAGAAACTGATAGCGAACAGCATGGATCCTGATCAGACTGCGCGGATGCGCAGGCTGGTCTGAATCCATGCTGGTCTCAAACGCAAGTTATGTTGGTTTTCTCGTGACACAGCACATATTATCTACAGTGTAAAAAACATTGTATCCTATATCCTACTGTACATAGCTCGATGCAGCTCTACGTCTCAAATTTTTTATGACTCACTTAATTTTATCACTTTATTTCTGTTTATCACTCACTTATATAACTAATTGTTTATCATTTACTGTTTATCAATCACTTATATTACTCATTATGTAACATTCATATTTAACAGTTTTATTAAGACGGACATGAGTGAGGTTTTTTTTTATCGCACATGTATTTAACACCCTCTCGGTAAAATGTGGCTAAAAATAGCTACAATATTTGTCCAAATTTATACAAATAAGGGCTGGGGGGAGGACTTTTGTAGATCTTTATGAACTTGTAATTTTCATGAATTTTCTATATTTCGAGGCTGTTTCATTAGTTTGATATGTTGTCTTTTTCAACTAATTATTATGACTTTAAAAATTTAAAATAATATGTTTTTTTTTAAATTTATGATTGTCGTCTGCAGTAAAAGATAGTACCTTCATTCCTGGAACGCCAGGATATCCGGGAGATCCCATGTTTCCGACATTACCAGGCGGTCCTGTTTGTCCTGGTAAACCGTCAACACCACGAAGACCCTGCAGTAAAAAAAAAATATTTTATTATCAAACATGTATTGCTAGATCTAAAAATCGTCTTTAGATATTTTGCTTTAAAAAAGCATTATTCCTCTGGGCATTTGCCTTCCAGTAATTAAAATATCTATGTTGGTAACGATATCAAAGATTTCTTTTTAAATTTTAAGATTAAAGATGTGTTGTTTTAAACAATACACAACGCATAGGCAGTGGTTATCACATGGTTTCACTTTTAGTAAATAAACCAATAACTGTGTCAAAATAAATTCTGCATGGAGTTTTCAGTAACAGTCAGACTGTTGAATTTCTTGAATGGACGCGCTCAGCTTTTATTTTTGTAACAGTCCATTATCAATTTGTGGGATATCAAGATAAAAATTTAAAGTTAGGAAATGTAAGCTAGTCTGGCTCTATACTTTTGGCAAAACCAAATTTCTGTTCCCTTAAGGTAAGAGATAATTGATTTGCTTACCACTGATCCGGGCGATCCGTCCTGGCCGCGATCACCTTGAATACCACGTGGTCCCTGTGGTCCGGGGCGTCCGTTAGGTCCTATTGGTCCATCGGGGCCCTTAAAATGTAAAAAAAAATGTTATCATTTATAATCTTTTCAAATTTAAAAGAACAAAAATAAGACAATATACGAGCACATTTTAGAAAATTGTTATCTTAGAATAAGCTTAAGTATGATTATTCATATAATTCTTGGCAGGCTGTGACAAACTAATGAATATTGCAGTACGATTTGTATTAAGTCCGAATTACGTAAATGTAATGTCCTTTAATGATTTATTTAGGTGGAGTAAAACTGTTTGAAATAGTTTAATGCCATTTCATCTTGTATGTATATTAACTTATAGCCAATACTTACAAAAACTGTGTAAGATGTCGATGTACATACACTTTATAAATTTTAATGTCTGCAAGATAGAACTCACCTTTTCTCCGGTGACCCCCACCTCCCCAGCCTTTCCTGGAGCTCCACGGAAACCGCGGTGACCTTTCATACCGGGTAAACCTGGCATGCCAGGAATTCCATCTGGTCCCTAAAAATAGGAACAGTGACTATTAAAAACATATTATTAAAGGCGAAATAACTTGACGCAAATTTACAGGCAAATGGTGAAAATGGAAAAAAATGACTGCCTCTCAACTCGATGACCGTAGGTTCGTGACTTTAAGTATCATCACGACCATGTTTTTTATTACTTAAATCTAAATTTCAAATTAAACTTAACCAAAGGACAATATCAAACTTATTTGATAAAGCTTAAAGTGCCGAAAGCTCTTTATAAATCGATCATTGTTATTTGAGCTTTAAAGCGTACGCTGCCGAATGAAGAATAAGTTCAAACTATACCAAACGTTCATTACGTCACAATTTCAAGATGAGTATTGAAATACCAATCGTATCTTCTCGGCAATTTCCGCCAAACGTCGTTTATTATTGGTTATAGTTGAGATGTTCCGAGAACTTTCAAACTCCTCGCAGCGGTTACTTCCCCTGATCTGTACAGTAACCACTGCCACCACAAGTAAATTCGGTCGAATATAGCCGGATATATTTTTTTCACTTTTAATTTTAAAATAGAATACTTTATATTATTTTAGTTTTCTTTCTTTAAATAGTTATGCTTAATGTACAAGAAAATAAAAAATTATACGTATAAAAATTATTTTGTAAACATAACGAAAGATATTTTCACAGACACCGTATGCATAGTAACAACCAGTAAACAAAGGCAGAATATAAACAGTTATTGAACGATTGCACAAAAATATTTGATCCGGCACTTGTTTTAAAGTGATAAACAAATTGTGTGTCTTGAACTTATTTTGTCTGGTAATGATGTAATTATAAATCTGCCAGTTTGATATGGGATCCTTGGCGTTCTGAAACTGGCCGCCATGTTTTTGTCACATGATACAACTATCATCACGTGATTTCAGTGGTGGCAGTGGTTAAAGTAGCAAAGCGTGACGTAACCGCTGTGAGGAGTTTGGAGAACTTTATGTGATAAAATGCAGCATGGATAGTTTCAAAGAGGTTTTAATTCAATTTTTTTGGGTACAATTTCACCTTTAAATTACAATGTAAACTGAATATTTTACCTTGGTTCCAGGGGTTCCACGAGGGCCTGGTGACCCATTTCGTCCTGGAGACCCATCAGGTCCTGGTTGCCCGGGGGATCCTGGGATACCTGATGGCCCGGGTGATCCCTGTCAATGAAAAAATTAATTATCTCTCTTGTGTGTACTTTTTGAAAGAAATAAAGAGCGTTTAAAATGGAAAACAATTATATATTCTGCTATTGAATATGAAAAAAGCTGTACATTTATATGCGTATAAAGGGGGGTAATTAAAAATAATTATAAAAGGAGGTAATTTAATAGGATTTCATTCAGTAAAATGTTTAAAATGCTTGATATCCGTAATAGGTAAAATCTTTTATCTAGATGGTTGAGTCTGATAAAATAACTAAATTTCATTATTTTGCTAGAAAGGAGAATTCGAAAGAAAAGCGTTTACCTATCGATTTATAAATACATGTATACTATAATACTGTATCTATTACAACGCTAATCAAGTGGAAAAAAATTCTTACCGGAGGCCCTGGTTCGCCGGGTGATCCACGGTTACCCTGTAAGCCCTGTTGACCTTGAGGTCCAGGAAGACCGTCAGGTCCACGTGGTCCTTGAGGCCCCTAATTCAATGTAAGAAAATAAACAAATTACAATCAATGCATAAACTGAACACGTCTAACTTATTGAAACTACGATATTGGCGGATTTTATGTTTTAATTTACAAGTAAAAAAAATACAGCAGCAGGAAAAAGTCCCGGATGCAAACATCCAATGACGTCACGTGATTTTGAAAATCTTATGATAATTTTATCATTATTTTTTAATATTATTTTATTAATTATTATTATTAACAAATTACTTAATGATAATTATACATGAATAAAAAGAATAAATTGTTAGGAGCACTTACAACATTGGCGGTAAGATATTGTGGCCCCTGTGCATACCCTGCTTTCATGCCTCCCATAGCATTATAGTAGTTTTGATAGGCTTGGTCAGCAGGCTGTAAAACAATAAAGAAAATTATATATATATATATATATATATATATATATATATATATATATATATATATATATATATTATATATATATATATATATAATATATATATATATATATATATATATATATATATATATATATATATATATATATAAACAATATTAAACCACAAAGTTGTGATAAAAACAATATAAACTTGAAAAACCGAATCTTAAAGTTAATATTTACTGTGCATGCACAGCGTCAAGCTGTCCTTGCTTATACGTATTAAACATTTAATTATGTTTAGAAAATCGCCATTTTTTTCTTTTATTTATTTATTTATTTTTATTTATTTATTTATTTATTTGGGGGGGATATATATAAATATTGTTTGAAATAATGTTTTATTGACAAAAAATCACAGTAAAATACGCACCATCATGTTTGGTCCAACGTTACCCGGGGGTCCTGGGACTCCATTCATCCCGTCGAATCCTCGCTGACCCTAATTAACATATGAAAAGGTCAAATATTAAAACATATTACTGTATAATATGAGATAACATCTATAAAAATATAAATATTTCAGAGGTTTTTTTAGTTAAATTTCTACATTTGAAACGTCTACAATCTTCGATTGTCCTGTCATGGTAAAGGTCACGTCAATACATGTATTAGGTCAAGGTCAACTTAAATGTGAAAATAGAGTCGCGTTTCCGTTTTTGGCATTGAAGACATCCAAATTTTGTCAATTTAAAAGTAAATTTAAAAATTTAATCCATGAACTGCGTGATCCTATAAACCATGTACAAAATATGTTCATACTTACACTTGGACCCTGTAGTCCTTGACGCCCAGGTTCACCCTCTGGCCCCTGTGGACCCTAAAGTCATAGAAAAATCGAATATGAGTTTGTTTGTTTTTCAAAAAGACAATAAATTTATGTCATAATTAAAGTGAACTGAAATCTGAGTTATGATTTTAATGGCTATTTGAATATGGCCAATGGCAACATCATTTTTTTTCTAAACAAACTACGACTTTTTATGAAGTAAAAATCTTACATATATTAACACTGAAATTTATTTCAAAATCAGATTTCCACACACAGATGGTCGCATATTTTGTACCAAAGTGTTGATGGAATTATTATATATATAATTTGAAGAGTAATTTTGCACAGTCCTATTTCAAAGATTCTTGTACACCAAACACATCCGTGTGTTGTTATTACCTGTGTTACACGGTGGAAAAAATAAAAAGCGATACGTACAGGATTGATAGCATGGTATGGGTAGACTTTATGCTCGGCACCATAGCCTTCCTCCTGGTGTTCGGCATCTACGTCGCCATCTTCATCTTAAAACACAATGCTTACATATTATATATATCTGATATCTTTAAATTATCCACATATGAAAAAATGGAAATAAGGATGCGATATTTCGCAAAATAAAGCAAACTAACCAAAAATGAATGAATGAATGAATGAATGAATGAATGTATGAATGAATGAATGAATGAATGAATGAATGAATGAATGAATAAATAAATAAATAAATAAAAAAGAAAGGTGAACATGTAATATTTATTGAAAAAAGACTTTCAAGTTCACAATTATACCATCATCATCATCATCATCATCATCACCACCACCACCACCACCATCATCATCATCATCATCATCATCATCATCATCATCATCATCATCATCATTATTATTATTATCATTATTATTATTATCATCATCATCATCATCAACATCATCATCATCATCACCATCATCATCATTATTATCATAATTATTATTATTATCTTTCAAAACGTTTTACCTAAACAATCGGGGTAATCCTCGCACTCGATAACTCCAAGCGTACAGAAACACACATAACAAGGTCTATTGTCCTTATCTGGGAACCAATCCAGTCCGTCCTCTACCACCTCCCCTTCCTCAGTTTTACACTGACCCTTTTCTGGCAACAAGAAAGAAAAAAGCGATATTTAAACTATGACCTTTAACCCGTTGAAACTTAAGGTCATTATCACAGTGAGGCAAATTTTACAATGCTATATTATTATTGTATTTAAATTTTTCACCCGAATTTACCCAAAATTGATAATTCCAAATATAGCAGATTAAAAAAATTCTATGGGTCAAAGGTTAAGCAACGACCCTTTTATGACCTATTTTTAGAGCCCCAGCAAATGTTGTAGAAATTGTTCTTCTTTAAAAACTAGTCATGTGTTACACCCGTCGTGCACTTTAACGAGTTAATTCTCTATTTTTAGATATCCGGCATTTTTTCAGCCTTTTTGTATTTATATAGGGTTAATAGATCTTAAAGATTTATTTGATGATATTCGTTTAAACCACGCTCTTTATAATGTATTCAACCATTGAACATTAAGAGAATGTATTTGTGAGAATTATTTATCCTGGAAAAATAGTTCTATGAGCCACGCAGAGCACTGATGGACGGACAGACGGACAAAACAATAAACAATGGCAGATGAAAATATATGTATAGATTCTGACAATAATTATACCTAATTTTTATTTTTCAGAACTGCTCTTGTTTACTTTTTGTGTCTTGAAAATGTACTATGAAAATACCTGTACATGATATTTACTGGTAAACATTGTGTCAGTTAAAAGTGGGTTATCTTTACTTTACAGAAATGAGAAAGTTTAAGTATCGCAGAAGATCTGGGGGTTTGATAAAATTAAAGTAGACGCATTTTTTCATAGGATTTATGAGATTGCCTCCCATAAAATTGAGTCGTTCTATTAGTTTTACAAGATCATTCGATTACACTGCTCTGTTTTACTGCTTTTTGTGATTTTAATCCTTTATGACTATCACACAGTTTTTTTTCAATTATCGCTGTTTAATTGAATCTTCATAAACCTTTCTGCTTTTGTCTTGAAAGAGAATTGCTTCAAAATCCGGAAACATCCGAGAATTACCGTAATTATACGGAAAACAAGACGCAAAAGACACTGTATTGATTTACAATTACAAGTTACAAGAAATTGAAATGCTTTTACAAGATAAGTTTAAAAAATAAAATTAATCTTTTTATTAATAATGCTCGAAGTGTGAAGAAATAAATCAACGATTTCAAATTCAAATTTCAGCCATATTATATATCTAGGTCATTTCCGGTTCCGGTAAGATACGTGGCGTTACATTGGTTAAGTATACGATTTAAAAGTAAAACCATAAAGCGTGGTACAGTCCCAAAATTTATGAAAATAATTACAAAAGAAAGTTAAAAAAGAAAACAGCCGTCTTGTCAACTGTAAATGATAGAACACCGGGCGCGTTCATATATGCAAATGAGCTAATAAATAGAAATGCCTAACGCATAATGTTTTATTTAAAAAATTAGGTGAGTTAATATTATCTTAACATGTAGCCCAACAAATTGTGCGCATGGCTTTTAATTATATTGATTATATATAAGTTTTTTTTTTATATTCCTTATAAAGATCGACGTCTATGCAATATCAGTTTGTAAAATCGGTCAAATATTGAGACTACATAAGAAGTTGTCATAGTTGAAGCCTAATATATCACTGCATTTTTTGCTAAAAGTCATAAGATAGACCCTTCCTCTTTGCAATGATTATATACATGTTTACGTATCTAAACAAATTATACTTCATGCTTCTTTATGCCAGAAGTTGACATGTCTGCAATATCTCTTACACTTAGAAAGCTCTTCCACTGTTCAGAGAGTCTAAAATAAAATACAATAGGCATATAGACTTGTTTGAAAATATGACGTTTTTCAATATGCAAATAACAACGAAAACGCCATAACACATAACAGAATTGAACTGATAGAAAAGTAAACAAAAATGACTTACTTAATTCAACGTCTTGAGCCCTTATTACGATGAACAGTATGGATAGCGTGGCTGCCCATCGCACTGAATCAAATGCCATGATTAAGCTTCCTTATTATACATGGAGGAAGCTTAAACTAGGAAAAATGTCCAGCGTCCGTTGGAAGCCAGTAAACCGGCTATCCGCTTTGGAGACGCCGTGTTCCTTATCCCTCGGAACACTGGATCCCGTAGAATTAATGGAATAAAACACGGCTTTACAGCCTTTGTTCCAATGTTGGCCAGAAAGTCTTAATCTTGTCGCTTGAAAATTGGTGAAACTCCGCCTCTTTCTGTTCGGCCAATCAGAAGCCGCGTTACAAAGCAGGTAAGAAATAAGATCATGCGCAATGTGAGTTGATTTAAAATGAGGTCTCTGACCTAGAAAATATTTAAAAGCTCAGCGAATTAACAGTACATGACGGTTGTGAGAGAAAATTTAGGCGTCTAAAAGATAAGATGCGATAAGACCTAGCAGCTGTGTTTTGCTACTTAAAAACAATCCAGGCAATGTGTATCAAATTTCCCTGATTTCGCAGTTTTTCAATAAAACAAAGTTTGCCCGGGATTTACATGTATAATGAAGATAGTCAAACACTTTTGTTTCAATGATATGTGTTGTGCTGTCAAATTTAAGTGTGTGTTTCAACATTTGCAACTCAACAAGTAAAAAGAAAATCATCATCGATCTCTGATCGAAAGTGTCCATTCTACGGAACCTCTTTATAGTTTTCAAACTATAGTTCATTATTTGATATATAAGCATATAGAGCACTAAATATCATACCATTTTATAAAATTGTAGAATTGTAAGAGGGTTAGTTGATATAATATTGAGCTATAGGTTCCCAAACAAGTCAAGTAAGTTGAATTATTTTGCTACTTGTGGCACTGGCGGAAGTAAAGACGCAGACGACACTTGACTCAGCAGAATATAAACAAATGAGCCGTGTCACGACAAAACCAACATAATGAGTTTGCGACTAGCATGGATCCAGACCAGCCTGAGCATCCGCACAGTCTGATCAGGATCCATGCTGTTCGCTATAAGTTTCTCTACTTCTAATAGAGTTGGTAAGCGAACAGCATGGATCCTGATTAGACTGCGCGGATGCACAGGCTGGTCTGGATCTATACTGGTCGCAAACCCATTATGTTAATTTTGCCGTGACACGGCTTAATTATAAACAAATGCCATTAATATATAAATTAGATTGAAAATAAGCATTTCATGTATATAAGTGTAAAAGTCTGATACGAAATAACTATACTTGAACAATAGCTTGTATTTGATCGATTGATTGATTGATTGATTGATTAATCGATTGATAGATTTATTCTTGTGATGTTCTTGTTACACTAGAATGTACATGTATATATATTTTGAGAAACCAAGCTGATTAGATCTTGTTTCGAAGTGCCGTGGGGAAGTTAAAATCATAAAAAACATGAAAGTTGCACATTAACAAAGCAAAGCGTCTTGATGCAAATTTGTTTTCTTTATCACGATAGAAATTAATACGCACGTGTGCAATATGCCAGCTTTGTGGTCTTAGCTTATGCACTTTTAATAGGAGCATAATATTTTGGTTATGGCATTCGGAAGGGTGTTATTATGAGAAAACACCAGAGTCGCATGTTTTTGTTATCATCGAAAGATTGAGATGCACAGAATCTGACAATTTTACGACATTTGAAAAAGAGCAGTTTCCCTCATTATCCTTTTGAAAGAAAGTAGCTCGTCACGAAAAGGTTTTCCAGAAAAATATTTCATCAAAACCGCAGTTTTGAATTAAAAGTGCTTCGTATAAACGATATATAAAAATAAATTTTGCTGAGCATGCAGTTTTACACTTTCTTCATGCATACGATAATTTCGGATTGTTTTTTTTTCATTCATTTTGAGTATAAACCAAAAAATCTTTCATAAAAATAAAGTTTACACGACAATATTAAATTTAAGTCATATTTAAAGCTACAGAAAGTTCGATATTTTACCATAATCAAAACTACCTAACTTATTCTCGAATTCTTTAAAGAAGCACACAATTGCCTCGTAGTAACGTAAGGAAACAAAATTGAATTATTTTTACTCTAACTCTATTTGAAACAGCACCAAGGTTATATTGGCCAGATACATTCATTCAATTATTAGCAGACTTCTACAAAGGTATGTGGTCTGTGAGAAATGTAAAAAAAGGCCTTCAAAACAAGATTAACACTGCTTATCTATGTATCTTTTCTACGCATGCTAACTTTTTATTGTTTGATTTTGTTTCTTCTCTTTTTTATATACATGTACGTGTGATTAGCCTGCTTGCATTGGCATGTGCCGATTTAAACTATGGTTTAAAAGTTGCATGCCTCCAGATCCAGATAAGCCAAAAATATTTCAAGTAAAAAATCAAACTTGAGAAAAATGTACTTAGATTTAAATACAAGTAAAAATATTCAAGATTCAAATAAAAATTTACGTGTTATATACAATTAATGACAGATTTTGCAGTATTCATCATCATATTTGTACTGTTTTACTAACGCAATAAGGGCTTTTTTTTTGCATATTTTGAACTCATTTTTTTTGTAATTAACGTGGATTTTAAGCACCGTTTGCATTGTGTAAATATATTTTCTTGTTCACTTCACAATAATTTTCTTATTAAATACATTTTTCAAGATATTCATGAAAATTAGAAGGAATCAGGAGACATGCTGCTTCAAAATAAGCGAGAGAAAAACTGAAAAATACTTATTTACCATCTTTCATCTTTCACCGTGGCGGTGTGACCTTGAATCTATAAGTAATAAATATATCAAATATTTCATAGTTATTTAGCTTTCTTTTTTACTTTTCTTTTCTTTTCATTTCATAGCGGTTGGTAATGACGTTTATGAATATCAACAACACACTTTAAAAACTGTACATTCAGTACAGAAAGGTCATATGAACTGTTACTTATACAATACAATCTCGAAAGTGCTCGCAAAATTTCATAATTCTATATATACTGAATTTGTTATCCAGTCAGCGTATGCAAAAATATTTTACTTTTTTAAAGTTATTCTTCTTAATCAGCTACGGAAACCTTAAACATAAATAAAACTTTATCGGCATCCTTTAAAGAAAATTAAATGATTATTTAAAGTGCAAAAAAACGACCGTATTTCCTAACTTTTTCTAAAAAAATGTTTTCTGAAACCACCTTCTTTATAATTTGCCATCTGTGATTTGTTTTATTATCTATTTCGGCAAGTTTTTTTTTATCTTTTACGATATTTTAAAGACTTTGAACTTAACTGCTGAGCGTTCATGGTCTTGATAGATATTTTATGAGAATTTGGCTGCATTTCAACCTGGCTGTTTTGGTCAAAGGGAAGCAACTCTTTTTTTTTCGTCCCAACATATGGTCAAAGGGAAGTAACTCGTTTTCTCTTACAAGATGGTAAAGCTCATGTAAAATTTCGCTGCACGTGAATTGATAAATTGATTTATAAATATATAAATAAATAAATGAATAAATAATAAAATGATTTTTAAATAAATAAATAAGTAAACAAATAAATAATAAAATGATTTTTAAATAAATAAATAAATAAATAAATATAAATTAATAAATAAATAAATAAATAAATAAATAAATAAATAAATAAATAAATAAATAAATAAATAAATAATACAGTGGAACCTGTCTAATCCGAACTCGTCCGGACCAGAAGAAAAGTTTGGATTAGAAAGGTTTCCGGATTAGAAAGGTTTCTGAATTCGAAGGTTTTTTACATGTTTTTTCATGTTATTTGCAAAATAGTTTAAGGAAAGAAAACGGGAATGCATTTGAAATTGCAATTTAGATATTTTATTTTCGCAGTCTCTCATCGTTCATTTTAATAAACGTGAATACAAAAATAAAGAAACTAAAATAAAAAAATAAGCAAAAATATTATGTCCTCAAGGGTAAGTTAACCTACGATGTTAAACAGGAGGCCGAGACATGATTAGATATTCGTACCAGCATTTGTCAATTGTTGTTTACTCTTATCCGATTCAGCGACTATCCGAACTCACTGACAGTTTCCATTAATTTTCATTACTTAATCACGTATCATTGAATCCAATACAAGGGATTAAAAGATATTTCTATTGCATTATATCAAAGTATTTATAGAAGCTGACGAAAAACAATCAATTAAGCAATTATAGAAGATATCGAGGCAAGCTAAGTGTAATTTTCACACCTTCTCAGATCTTACGTTTCACCCATTAATCAAGCTAAATAACACTTATCAGTTTGGTGTATGTTTACACATGCAAGATGTGCGATCGATTATTTGTTATTTTGAATGAAGGTGTGACATTTGGCAAAATCTGTTCGGATCTGAGAGGTAAATTTTAGAGTAAAATAAGAACAAAAATTGAAAAAATCGTCCGGAATTCGGAGTAGACAGGTTCCGGATCCGAAAGGTTTTTTACTATTGAAAATAGAACGAATAAAATCGGGACTGGACACTTCGTTCGGATAAGAAAGGATTCCGGATTAGAAGGGTTCGGATTAGCAAGGCTCCACTGTAATACTAAATAAATATATAAATAAATTGATTTATAAATAAACAATCATCAATCTAACGGCTGTTCTTGTTTACAGTTATCTATTCTGTAAAAAATTTTACTTTTTGGAGATCTACTACAGTTTTACTACGAGCACTAGTATCATATTAGTTCAAAGGGCTGTTTCATGCTGATTGAATTAACTAGGATATGTTTTATCAGAAATCTTGTTTACAGGCACGTGGGATAGTACTTATCGTGTTGATAAACAAAACAAGGTTTTTGACCCCACAAAGTTTCCTCTACAAGACATAGCAGCCTTACAATATATAAATTGTTTTTGAGATTGGCAATATATTGCAGGAAACTGACACCCTGAAATATTTAATACTTTTACAGATACCGGTATTGTTTAAAATACAGAACTAGAAACTAAAGATGTCAACGAACAAATAGCTAAATAAATAAATAAATAATTTATAAATCAATAAATGAATAATTTATAAATCAATCAATCAATCATTCAATCAATCAATCAATCGATCGATCAATATAAAAAAGACACAAAATAAGTATTCAGTATTATACATTTTATTGATCATATTTCCCAGTATCTTTAGATATATGTCAATGATTATCAAACATACGTTTCTTTCATTACCTTTCTAACAAATATCACTCACTATTTGCAGTTTTGAATTAGAACTGACTTAACTTTAATTACTATTTTTCTATTTTGATATTTTAGTTTTCCTTTAAAGTTCTGTTCCGTTCCATTCTAATTACTAGTTACACTCATTCACGAAACATAGTAACCACTAAATAAAAACAGAAATTAGATACAAAAGTACATTCCTTTTGATATTTATTTCTGAAAATAAACCTGAAAGTCTTCCCTTCATGTGGTTTTAATAAATAATGTTTATTAAAATGTTGTTGTTTTTATATGATTAAAAATAACGTACATGTAATTTCGTGCACAAGATATTATTCTATTTATTCAAAAACCGCATTGTATTTAAGGCTTACGGACCCTAATGAAGTAATGGGATCCGCGCCATGTTTTTTTTTTAATAATGACGTCGCAGGGGAAAACACTCTCTCGCGTGAAATAATATACTAAAATAGATTATCCGATTCATCAGGGTCCATAATCCATAAAAAATAGGATTACTATAGTATTGAAATGATGCAAAATTTTCTTTGAAATCCTAAATCTAAAAAATAACGCACACACAAACAAAACTGAAGAAATATCGTACAACATACTACAGGAAAAGAACCCGCATATTTTGAAATTCTTGTGACGAAACACAAATTCTTGAATACAATAAATATAAACATTGAATAATTGTAAAAAAAATATCTGCATGTACAATATTTAATGATAGCCCCTAAAAAATGTCATAATATAATATGTTTTGTGAAACATGAATTGGCCTGTTTCAATATGACCATCACATGATGACTTTGATTCCTGCTACGAAAATGGTTAGTGTCCACTTAATACATGTAAAAACATAAAAAGAAAAAAATGTGGGTGTGGCGTCTGCAATATTTGATATATAGTCATGTGTATCATTGACGGTTTGTTTGAATATCCGGGCATTTAAGATGAAATAACATTTTAAAATAGTCATTAATTCAAAACGAAATTCTTCTCTTCTCCTCATTTCATAAAATCTTTTCTTGAGCTTCTCTGTTTTACAACTTTGGTTTTTACTAATTCGCCTTGTTAAAGACACATTAAGCCATAGAAACAAAAATGACATTTTCCTTTAAAGAAAACCCAAACCTGTACTTTCTTTTAATGTTTAATGAATTTAGAGCATGTTAGATGTTTATGCAGGGAACGTAGCGTTGAAGGTAAAACAATTTGTCTTTAAAGTAACAAAAAGTACAAAATACTAAATTACCATAACTTTACTAATAACCAAAAAAGCAAAAGCCATCGGGAGACATTTTAGCCATCTGACAATAAGCAACCGCTCCGGAAATTAATAGAACACCAAAACTTTTGAAGAATTTAAAATAACATTTTTTGGCTTAATGGGCCTTTAAGTAATGACGTCTATATACTTTTAATTTAACAAGTTCACATAAATTTACGCAGACAACATTTTATAGTTCTTAATACAGCATCAACACCAGCTTAAGTGATGTCTTTAATTGAGTCAAAAACATAAAACACATTTTCCACATTTAATTCAATTGTCACGTTCTGCATAAAAAGCACAGCGATTTCCATTTAAAACAAATCCAACATTCAACAGTTTTGTGAAAGTGCATTCATTCTAACAGTCGGCTGCAAAAAATGCCATTATTTTCAACCACAAACTACGAATTGCTGATGACTTGCAAGAAAATACTTGAAAACTAATTTATTTTACTGAATCTTTTGTCACACCACATATGTTTTTCATTCTAAAGCTTAGAAAGTAGCATTGAAATAATAAAAAATGCAAAAACAAAAACTGTAAAACTGTTTCCGGTGAAAGTAGACGCTGCAGACGTTTCTTTCAATACTTGTTTTGGACACGTGACTACAGTTTTTGTTAACATCTGCGGACACGAATCGGACCAGCCTGGTCGTTCTTGGTAGTTCGCCTTTTCTAACCATGTTATAAGCGGCCGGAAGTATTCCATCAGGGGACCAGCGTCCATGTTGCGTTGCCCTGTAATTACCTCCATAGCTTCCGGCCATGGTCTGGACGATCCCATTTTAAGCAGATTCCTGCAAATGAATTTACACATACTTAAATGATAGACTAAAATTTTACCATAAATACATAGAGAAAATAGAAGTGATCAAAGGTTGCAAATCAGGAGTGAATGATGTGTAATAAATCGGACGATATATCTATCATAAGTAATAGGGTTTTGTTGTGTGTGTTTTGTTTTGGGGTTATTTAGAGTAAAACGATGATAATAGCATCTGTCCACATGAAAAGAGAAATCGTGCAATTTGATTAAACTCACTACCGTTGACTTCTAAGTTAACGCATTGCAAGGCCATTTTAGAATTTTAGCAGGCTAAAGGTCAAATGATATCCCTAACCTTGTAGCGTTGCATATTAAATGGAAAATGCATGTACTATAGAAGCAAAAGATTTTGATTTTCTTTACGGTCAAACAAGTACAATTTTACCACGCGACACTTCGGCGTTTAAGTGATTCAATATAATTATATCTTGTACATTTTGAACCAAACGATACAGAAGTGCATTCTTACATAAGTTTTGTTCCGGCTTCTTTGGATTGGTAGATATCACATTTGTGTAGAGGTCCCGTATGGTTTGCTGCATCACACAATGCTTTATGAAACTGGAACTGTAGCACGTAACTGACAAAATACCTGCACGTGCAAAACATGAAAGAAATAATACACGTGACAAGAGAGAATTAACGTAGTGAATATCGATAAAAAATGAGCCGCTTCACGACAAGACCAACATAATGGGTTTGCGACCAGCATGGATCCAGACCAGCCTGCGCATCCATGCTGTTCGCTTATCAACTCTATTACAAGTGGAGAAACTGACAGCGAACAGCATGGATCCTGATCAGACTGCGCGGATGCGCAGGCTGGTCTGGATCCATGCTGGTCGCAAACCCACTATGTTGGTTTTGTCGTGACGCGGCTCAAATACAGAATAGATTATACGAAATATAAGCATACTGAAAAATTGACATGACGGCAAATATTGCTTCTCCAGCAGCCACATTCTTAACAATCATTAACAACTTTAAACGCTCATTATTTCTCATAAAAAAAATCCCGCCTCTATATAGAAAGTGCAAACAAGAGTCTGTCTCGTTCAAATAATGGTTCAGATCTGTTACATGCAAATCACTTGAAGAAAGTAGCGCTGTGTGTGAAATTATTTCTCATAACAGTAGCAAAATGTAAACAAAGTTGTATTTTTCACTTTCATAAAAATGTTTAATGCTATAAAAATGTACTTATTGGCAAAAAAGTAACAAAAGCAAAAGATGGCTCAGGTGATTGGCCGATGACAAAAAATACTATAACAGGACTCCAAAACTGATATAAAAAATTTGAGAAATGAGAAATAAAAGCATTTCTTGGCGCAATGGGCCTTTAACAGACTTCTTTATATGAATTTTATAATTCTTTATCAAGAACTTTTGTCAACATATCACCATATAGTTTATTAAAACTGACTGAGATAAAAATGTTACCTAATATAAGGGTAATTTCCGGGTATATGAAACTTTGCACCGGGGTCAAAATCGCTGCTGCTCCTTTGTACTGGGGGTGACATGCCCTGATATTTACACCTGAAATATTTTCATATGTATTTTGTATTTGTTTTCAAGAACTATGAATTATTTCTTTCTCTATATCCATTCGCGCTGACAAAACTTCCAAAAGGATATTTTAACGCGTAACCCATTTTTTTATTTAATGTCATCAAGTGGTGACAATGTTAGTTGCATGTGGAAAAAAAGAAAACTTGTATTTCTTTTGGAAGTCTACCGCTGACAGAAATTTATACATGAAAATATTCAATATTCAGCTTCTTTTTGCAAGTTTTACGCCCTGACATTTTCATCTTAAAATCAGGCGCATTTTACTATTTTAGTCTGAAATTCTATGCTTTGAGAGATAAGATAAACGATACATTCTACATTTCATATTTATTGTTTTAATATTTTTTTCTGTTGGGAGAGGGGACAGAAATTTGTATCTCTTTGGCTAAATAAAACTCGCAGATATCTGCACTTAAAAATTAATCAAATATTGCATATGAAATATCTCAACAGTAGCATGTTCTTTTTTTATAGAAAAACACCTGAATAGTTCTTTCAAAAAATCTGAAAATTCAAGATACATATTTTTTTCCTAGCTTAACTGTTTACTTTCCTGGAAAGCATATACTTTTATCTAGTTATAAAAAATTAATTATCATTTCAAGGTCATATCATTTCTTTTCTTTTACCTGTAGCCTCAGTAAATTTACAATGAACTTTTCTCAGCAACTGTCCGGTCAAGATGGAAAACTTTACAGTATAATTACAAAACATAAAACACCACTTGTTTCCACTTAACCAGCCACTTAAATAGCAGCATGAAATGTTAATGATTATTAGGTTTTAGCATTTACCCTTTGAACCCTATAAAACGCGATAAAACAGACTGGTGCTTCCAGTAAAGAATACTTGTTTGTTTGGTTTGGTTTTACGGCACACCCATACACCATTTAGGTCACATGGTGCCGAAACAGGAAAAGATAACTGGCCATCCTCGGGTGTTACTAACTTAAAGCAACACCAGGGGTTAAAACAACCTCACCTGCTGTAGCTAAATCCGATGCATTGACTAACCATTTATGCTCTCGACAGCAGATATATGAAGTGTGCCTTGCTTACGAATCAGTCGTTAGGGCATAACAGCAGTGGCTATATTTAGAATGACCTCTACCCTTAAAGAAAAAACCGGTTCACGCCACAAGGGCATCAGTCAGATTGACACAGCCTAACTCAATATATTAGCAGATTTTTAGATTAAAAGAATACAGTACGGACACTTTCATCTCTCTAACTCGAGCAATTTTCAACTGACCTCAAACAACCTCGTTTAGCAGAGAATAATCTCAATGGCTAAGTTTCATACCGTACCTTAATTTCCACCAGTCTTCGTTATATTTCTCTGGCGGTGTAGCACCACTAAATACGCTCCATCTCCATTGGTCAATTAGATAGCCGAACGGCAGAAACGCTATCTTGTCTAACGCCATCATCATTAAAAAGTTTATATCTACCTCTGCAGGATTAAATATAATTAATTTACATACTGAATATATAGTTGTTGACTAGAATTATTAGTGTTAAATTAAATCTACTTTTTAAAAATAAAATGGGTAACTTATTGAACGTCAAAAATGGCAGGTTGTCTTTGATTTGAAGTCCGTTCGTGGGAGGTAAAAAGCTGCCGCCCACGTCCCCTGACACCGTTTTTGAAATTACTGTGAGATGTTGATCAACTAAGAATTATAATAATTCATAATATTTTCCAGAGTAAAGTCACCACGATGCAAATTAATATTTTATACAAAGGCTTAATTCGGTCAATGAAAATCAGCGTCCTTCAGGCGCAATTTAAGACAACGTGTAAATGAAATTGTGCAACTGTTCTTTTTTTCTGTCCCTGTCCAGTGGAAGGTACAGAGGAAGACATTAAACAAATGATTTGCATAAATAGACAGGAAGTCTCATCATACCGTCGTCGTCATTTCCGGGTTCTAGAAGATTGATTTTTCGTAAATGTTTCGGTGTTTGTACTGACAATGCCATAACGTCTCCTATAGCTTCATGGAACCCTGAAGTAAAAAAAAATCTAATGAATTGTCTGTACACACTTTTCAGTTATCAAACGGACACCGGATGTTTAGTCGATAAGGTGACGGACAAGGGAAATCTTGTACCTTGTGTATTTCAATTATTTGGCCTATGCGGTGGGTTAATCGGTTTGATCTGTGCAAGGCTTATTTCTGTGATGGACGTGATTCGAGTCTTTCTCCACCACCAATACAACTGGAAATGAGTCACAGTCTTAAAAATAGTCATGCATTCGTAATTAATACACGTCTTAACAGAGTTTGTGCGATTCACATCTCTCAGTTATTAATATTTATGTGAATAAAAAATTTAAAAATTATCTCAAATCTTATTTATAAAATAACACTGTAACTATTATGTTCAATTTAATCAAATTTTAAAAATATTACTGACCAGGGTTGGCCCCGTCTCTAAATGGTATCGGCAGATGCCTGTATTGCATCTGGTACTGGATGTGACCCATTTCATGATGGATAGTTACCAGGTCCTCCATGTCTATATTTGTACACATTTTGATCCTGTAAGCAGACGACAATGATAATTACCGCTGGTCAATTTAAATAAATTTCATAACAAATCAAAGTTATATGAAAATGTTTGGAAAACAAGTGAATGGACCTTGTGTAAAACTTATCGTTGTCTGAATTCTGATATTTCGAGATTACAGTTACCTTACAGGTTTTGACCAATATGACTTCCACTAAGAAACGGCATCAATGCAATATAAAAAATGAATCGAACAAAACAAGTCAGGAGCCTAAAGCTATCTTAATAAGTTTCAAGAGATTCTTCTTGTTTCCTTCTTTATAAAGTGTTTTAAACATCCATGGTTTAACAGTTTTTTTCGGCCGTATGCTATTTTTATTCACCATGATTTCCGGTAAATGTCCGGGATAGTCGCCATCCTTTTCCGGTATTTGCCGGACAAATAATTCATGTATTATGTCATTGCCAAATATCAGAATATATGAATATTGAAAACACTGGTTTACTACATCCAAACGTTCTTTTCTTCAAAGACATTTCTTGTTCAAAATGGGACAATATCATAGCATAACCTCATTCTTATCCAACGAGACTAGCGCTTTAAATTTCAATGAATTGGACAGTTCAAAGTATATACCTAAAATCCTTAGCGTTATAGAAATCCCAAGCGGATGCGTGGCAGACGACTTCTCTATCTTTTGGTCTGACGATCATAGACTTGTCCCAGAATTCCTGGCGCATCGGTTCCAGTCCAAGGGAGGTAAAGAAGCTTTCAGCAGTTCGGAAAAGCTGTGTAGCGTTATATCCCTTGAAAGATGTCAAATAGATTTTACAACTTATTATAACAATTTACGCGAAAGTGTGTTCAATCAATTGTAAGGAATTAATGCTACAATTTATTATTTAATCGCTTTACTAAACGTTCATATACTTCAAAACAATTTACAATAAATGCCTACTGTTAATTAACTATCTCAATTTCTGTAGGCCTGTGGCTTTGCTTCAACTTGCTTCTTGTTAACATGTTATGGACAAAGGGAGACAATCTAGTCTAAAAGAATAATTATTGCCCTACAAGAGTTCTAGCTCTTAAACCGCTGATTTGTTTTATTGGCCAGTACTACTGTCAAAAGCTATCAACAGCGCCGAGCCTAGTCAGACTTCGTGGACTGGTGGCAACGGCTAATCGAAGTCGGCTCAAGCAGGTTAAGGGGTTACTCAAATTCTAAGACGTAATAGAGCTCTATGATTTAAACTTGATTTTACGTAACTTTAGTTTTAGTCATATAATTATATTACAAGTCAAAAAGACGCTTATCCGTCCTTTAATTTGGCGAAAATTGCTGCGTACGGGGTATTGATCGATGAATGACGTTATAACTACTAGTGTTTACCTGTTTACCAAGAGCCGGTGTTACATAATATTTTGTTATTTTAAAAGGGGGTAAAATGTTTTTAGATTTGTTCCATTCCGTGCCCCCAAATTTTTCCCAAAAAAATAGAAAAAAAAATGTCATTTTTTTTTCAATCTATCCGCCTTACTAATTTTTTTTCTGCAAATCAAAAAGTCTCATTTTCCAGAATTTTTTAAACCCTTTAAAATTTGATTAAAAATTTAAACTTTAAATCTATAAAAACAAACCCTTCTACTTGAAAAAAAATATACTTTTTTCTAAAAATCGCTATCCGCGTGGGTTTTAACCAGTCAAAAAAGGGAAATTGCTCAGTATCGGTTGGGTTTCCCCGGGGTGCTATAAAAGGCCCCAAAAAAGCTGCCTTTTCAAACCAAAAAATCAAACGAAAAAATTAAAAAATTTGGTTTTTTTTTTTTTTTTGAAAATTTTTTTTAAAAAAATTTAGACCCCCATGAAAGAAGGTCATATTAGGCTGCTGAAGTTGAACATAAAATTCATTTTTATCTCAGAAATAAACATCATTTTCATCAACAAAATTATGCATTTTTTTGTACAAACCTAAAAGATGTGCCGGGATATGTCCGCTATCCGGGAACTTGTCCTCTCCGTAAATATCCATTAGTTTCCTTCTAACATAAGTATGAAGATTTTGATATAATGGTTTTAATTGTTCGAGTAGGTGTTCAAGATCGGTTTGGAATGTTTCGGTGTCATACACGGACCTCCAGTAAGCCCCGGTGTCGTCATAACCTGAAATGACGACACAAATACCATGATTTTAGCATAAAAAAACATGTATAGAGTGATTGGTTTTTATAGACAGGAGTGATTTTAAGAAAATATTAATGCTAGAGGCATTTTATAGTATAAGTAATATATTGAGTGTTTTAACCTAATATGAGTATGCTGAAGACGATGAGGGTGGATACCAATAAAATAAAATTGACCATGACCTTCATAAGGTCAAATCAAAATGGCCGCTTTAAAATACTAAAATAGGTCATTAAAACTATGATACAATATGATGCAATTAATTATTCTTGTCAAAATCAAATGATTATTCAATATGATCAGATTTTAATGAGATTGGCCACATAAGCCTAATGGCTCAATTAACAGTATATACAGTACTGTTTTACTAGCGCGTTAAGGTATAAGACTAAGATTGAGAAAAAAAACACTTTTAATGTTTTGTTTACTTGACTTATATTGAACAATAAACTTAGTTTATAAATATTACCAAAGAATAAATATTTCGTAATAACGAATTAATATTTCGTAATAACGAAATAATATTTCGTAATAACGAATCAATATTTCGTAATTAAGAATTTATATTTCGTTAAAACGAAATAATATTTCTAATTTGGAATTATTATCTTGTAAAAACGAATTAAATTCCGGGAGAAAGTGTGGAAAATGTCACTTCATGTGTTCCGTAATTTTCAACATTATTTGTAGCTATGATTTTTTTTAAGTTTTGTTTTCATATATTTTGCACTAATTATGGTATTTATGATTTAAAAATTATTTTGAAATGTTAAAAAGTGTCATTTCAATGCCATAAACACAACACAAACCGAGACAAAAAGTGTTTTAAAAATATACTGCGCCCCACAAAAAAAAAAAACAAACAAACAAAAAACGACAGGTCTTAAGAAATGGCAACAGTAGGAATCGAACCATAGACCTCTCACACATCAGTCAATCACTTAACCGGCTGTGCTACTGCGGAAGTAATATGACTTTTACTAACATTAGTTTTTTTTTATTTTATGCTTTTCAGTGGATTACTGATTTATCCGTGAAAATTATATTTGATAATTTCACAGTGAAAATTATCAAAATATAATTTCACACTTTTCAATGACGAAACTACTTTCTTAAGATTTTCCCATGTGGTACCTCAATTTTATTTTTGCTGACAATTCTGACAATGTCAGGCTGTTTCGAGACAAGCAAAGCTGAAATTGATAAATAACTTAAATGTCAAAATTAATAAAGAGAAGAAAACTTACTTCTATTCATCTAAAGTATCAGGTAATATCGTCTCTTATTTTTATTTTTTTTTATTTATTTTTTTTTTACAGTCTGAAAAAAAAACATTCCTTCCACATGCAAAACTGCTCTTGATGACATTTGGGCATATTTAAGTTTACCATCTTGTTTAAAAATAAGTGACTATTTAAAGTTAGAGTTAAAAACAACAACAACAATAACAACACCATATTTTCATGGAGTCATAAAATTTCTAAAAGCGGGAGATTGCTACGTGTGCTTGGTATACCACGGCAGCTCTCGAAAATTTTGGAATTCAGTCACGGTTTTGAGAAAATTCTACAAGAAGATTATCACATCATTCGATATACATTAGCATTCCGGGTAACCTCCAATAAATTTCCAGGATATCTAAAAGTAACAGCAAAATTATTTGTTATAAATCGAGTAATATTTTCTTTGACCATATATAAAAGTCACGTGGGTTGGCTACATAGTAGAGGTGTTAAAATATAATTGTAATACACCCTTTGTTAGCCATTGAAATAGTATTTTATGTATAAAGGATTTTCAAAAATGGTTATTATTCAGAGCGGGCGCTATGGTTCAGGGGTAACACTGTCTGCCTACAAATCAAGGGGTCGTGAGTTCGATCCCCGCTACTCCACTGAACGAATAAATGACTGCAAGACTGGCAAAACCAGGACATAGACACAGCATAACGGCAACGATAGAAACAAGAGAAGACCTTAACGGAACAGGAAACAAGTACCGAAAATACAAGACCGAAGACGACGACCTATAACAGAAGGAAGAACAGAGAAAAGGACCGCTAACAGAAGAACAGAGACAGAGACCGATAACAGAAGAACTGACAACAAGCGAACAGAGACGAGGATTGATAACAGAAGAACAGAGACAGGGACCGATAACAGAAGAACTGACAACAAGCGAACAGAGACGAGGATTGATAACAGAAGAACAGAGACAGGGACCAATAACAGAAGAACTGACAACAAGCGAACAGAGACGAGGATTGATAATAGAACAGCAGAGACTGAGACCGATAACAGAATAACATAAACGGGGACTGATGACAGCAGAATGGAGACGGGGATCGATACAGAAGAATTGACAACAAGAAAACGGAGACCAGGACTTATTACAGAAGAAAAGAGACAAGAACCGATGAGAAGAACGGAGAAGAACGAAGACGAGAACCGATAACAGAACAGGACATATTGGATTGTTTTGTTTTGTTTTTAAATTCTGTTTTGGTGTCTAATTTGTTTTTACCTAAACATGCTTTGTGACAAATTTCAGACTTTTCCTTTCCTTAAAAGTTTTATTTGATATATCATCCATTTATGATAAAGAAATTAGGCGGCCATTTTAGTGGTCATTTTAAATGGCCATTTCAATGGTCAATATCAAGTTTTTCAATTAGGTATCTACCTTTATCGGATTCAGCATACCTTAAATAGGTAAAATACACCAAAATACCACTTGTACTACAAAATGCCTCTAGCATCTTATAGAGAGCCAAATTCTCAAAATCACTCCTGTCTATTACTGTTGTATAACAACTCAATAGCTTTACTTTCATTTTTGTTTATTTCTTAGCGCATTATCTTTGCTTTTGTTGAGCTTCATGTCAAAAGTTACATAGGCGGAAATACACATGTGGATATATCATTCTATATTAACTTGATGTCAAGTTTTAGTCACGTGACGACATTGAAGATGTCGATACACATATTTGATGATCAAACGGAATCATTAAAACCAATATTAGAGGAAAATAAAATCGTTGTTTAAAATCAGCATCATGTATTTTTAAAACTACTTTTTTTCTTCTTCCCCCCCCCCCCCCCCCCCCCCCCCCCCCCCGATAATAGATATTCAGACATTTTCAGATAAATTACTCTTGTAAAAGAAAATAATATTTTGAGAAAAGTATACAACACCTAGTTCTTTTACAGCTGTGTTACTAAGATTGACAAACTGAGCATAAGTGTCCTTCATCTTTTTCCCTGTAGCATCTCTCCATCCTTTCCATACGTTTGTCAACTCATCATAATTTGTAGAGTCCGCCATAATACGTTCAAGCTCTGTAAAATCAACCATTCTGACAATTAAGTAATGTAAAATTGCACATTTAGAATGTTGTTTTTTTATTTATTCACAATATACATGTACATGTATTTAGCATATTTGTACATGTATTTCGATAGTGTCCCCAGTCTAACATTTTATCCAGTTGGCAGGCACAACAATTTACATGAAATGTCTTCAAAATAAAGTATTCAATCCTATTTTAACATTCAAGTTTATCTGATAATTTTCATTTAGAAATGAGCTGTCATGCTATAATTATTTTTATTATTTAACGTAATCAAAGGGGGGAGTATCGAATTGTGATATTGAGGTCTTTTTTTTCATGACAACTGATCTGGAACGTTGAGTCTCAATGGTCATTGGTATCTCAACCATGTAGGATGTGTTGATGGTGTATCATAGTTTAGGGACCATTCTGTTGAAAATGTGTCAGAGTTAATCGTATACATATACATGCACAGTGCCTTAACAGGAGTGCAGGTATTAGTTACCTGCACTCCAGAGCATTGATTGGCTCTTTTTTTCAGTGGACGGCAAAGAAAGGGGTAGGGATAGAAATATCATATTCAGATGCTCGTTCATTGGTAACTTTTTTCTGGGGTTTAATATTGTTACAACAGGGAACGTGTATTTATTTTTGCCTATGATACAAAAGAGAAATAACATCAAAACACTCGGCAGTTTGATTTATATTCGGGGGGCTCTTCCAATTACGTAACTGGTTAGTTATCCAGAAAAGCTGGTTGGGTAGACCGACCGCCGAGATTTGACCCAAAATATGATAAACTGACGTTTTCACCAACCAACCAAACAAACAAATTAATTATCATTACAAGAAATAATTACATGTACGTGAAAATTTATAAAATAGCATATGAAGAACAGTTACATATACATGTATATGAAGTTATACACAAGGTAAATATTTTTGTACCTGGGTCTAAATCAACGCATTTTCCGGAAGTCAAACAAACTTTGCCAGTGCTGTACGTAGATTCCATGCTTGACTTTAACTCTCCAAGCTGTTTCATAAAAAATCAAAATATTGCTTTTTAACAAAATAAAACACACAAATAAGTATAACTTCTTAATTATTTTTGAAGGGCTTATTTCTGTTAATTTCATACTCATAGATATACATGTGACATTTTATCAAACATGTGAATATTTGATTTTAATTGTATGAATGTTAATTTTGATACAACAATTTCGTCGGTTTATGAAAACAAAACAAAAATATTTTATTTGTCAAAAAACGAAGTAATACTCGTAGCATAATGTATTTAATGTATTTAAAAAAAAACGGAAAGAAAAAAAAACGTTAGTGCAAAGAAATTTATGTAAATGTGACACGTTGGACCAGACCACAGTCCGTGACTATTTAGTAGCCCATAAAAAAAGGAAAGAAAAACAAGAAATAAAACTTTATGGTTCAAATCAATAAGTTTGGTTTGCTTAATTGGATAGTTGTCTTTGAATAACCTTCTTAAAAGAGTTATGGCGTTCGAATTCCAGTAAAGGAGGCTGCATGTTTTCTTTTGTGTTAAACAGGCGTACGGAAGTCCTCTCTTTTTTCCATGGTACCCAATGAAACCGGTAGTAATGCACGTGAGACACCTAATGTACACACAAAGACCAGAATTAATGCAAGAGGGACATCTAAAAGCAAAGCCGAAATGTCAACATAATATTATGACAGTAACAGTGTGTTTATTGCCAGAACCCAACGCTAATATTCATTCAACATCACTTTCTGAAAATTAGGAAAACCGGAAATGTAACCTTTTTGAGCTGGTTCTCATCTTTCAGGGCACTGGTACCAATATCTGCCATTTTACGTAGTCTACGTTTTAGTTGCGCGTCTTTGTATTCCTTCCAGTGATACATGGATACGTTCTTAGCAACCATTTTCTCATACTTTGCAATTTCAACATTGGCTTGATTCTATAAATAGTTGGCAATATAAAATTCACATTATATCTATGCTACAAGGGGGTAGATGTACATTTAAATATGGGTCTAACATACCGGCATTTAAAGTATTAAGTTTTCTGAGTTTGGCAATTCGATGAGTAATATCGAACTGTTTTTCACCAGGATCAAACAGGATTATTAGTTTTTTAGAACTATTAAATATCTTAAGATCCGGGTGCTATAAAACATTTTTAACTTTGTATTTTTTCGTTCATGATAAATTAATTTTGTATAAAGTAAAATTTAATTTTAAAACAGTTTATAACTTGTGATATTTTTGTAATACTTTTGGACCAAACACCCCCGTACCTGGACAGATTCGATGACTAGATTTTTTTTGTTATACATGTATAATAATTGATTTTAAAATGAATACGAATTGCTAAGGTAGCCAATTTAGACTTTTTGTCAACTACAACTGTATTAATTGCCCGTCGATAAACAACTGCTTATAGGGTTGATTATAGTCATTCTAATGTTCTGTAAATATATTTAATGATTACTGCCTAGAAGCCCAAAATTATTTTTTATTGCTCACCATTTTTTCTGCTGTTTCATCTGTAAGATTTGTGTTATATGCCCAGTCGGCCTCTGAATTCCAATAGTATTTATCTGAAGCCTCGTTTTCATACTGTGATAACCAATCGTTTAATTCGTCTGCTTCCGTCACGTGAGTACAATCGTCTGACCAACCACGTTCATCTTCCGGTACTCTTTCTTTTAACCAGTCAATGAGTGGTTTAAAATATTCCATTAATGGTGCGGCGCTCATTTTATCAGTACCTGTAAATTTCATCATGGCTTCTGTCCATGGTTTAGATGATCCCATTTGTAATAAATCTCTGAGATAGAATACACATTTAGTAAGTACATACGAATAATAAATGACATACATGCATATTGACAATATTCATATGAAAAATCAGTGTCTAAATTTAATTTAAAATGAGTTATAGGCCTACATATGTACATGTATACAATGTTAAGTAAATTGCTTTATTGAGATATTCTTATTGAATAAAATAAAATCATAAAGATAAATATATTTCATATATAATTAAAATTCATAATTCATGTAAAATTTATTTTAAAAAAAAAACAACATTACGGACCATGATCAACATTATAGGAATCGCCATATTGGTATTTTGTTTTCAAATTATGACGTCATAGTGGGAAACACCATTTCACGTGAAAATGTACTAAAAATAGAAATATGTCGAAAAAAGGCGAGTTACGATAAAGTCCGAAATTAGTTGATGACATTTACCGAATTATAAGGTTTCATATTCCTTACAAAAAGATGCAGATGATATCTATATACATGTATATACATTATTTTATGCATTTGTATTTATAAATTGTAAGGATATATATCATGCTGGAATACCTCAATCTATCACCAGCTTTTGTCGAGTTGAATATATCACAATGATGCAAGGGTTTAGTATTGCCCGAATAGTTACACAATGCTTGATGAAATTGAAACTGAACAACAAAACTTACAAAATATCTGAAAATATAAAAACATGCAACATGCAAACCAACTCAACAACAAAACTTACGAAATATCTGAAATTATAAAAACATGCAACATTATCAAGATTGGTGTTTACGCTGGCGTGCAACTAATAATGTGACTTTCAAATAATTTTACTTAAGCTATACCTTTAAAGGTATGTTATTTGACATTCGTTACTGTCGGATCATTCTCAAACTACAAACTATGTATCTCGGGTTCAAGCCTTATTGGGTCATGTTCATGTTTCCTTATTGAACGATCCTGGACGCGGTTCAAAAAGTGGTTCAAAGAAACTTCGAGCTTTCAATCCATGCAAACTTAAATATGTTTAACTGACAAAACAGTGCATGCATTATATCAGTTAGAAATTTGTTTTCCTTTGGCTGTAAAACAGATTTAATGAAACATTCTAATTAGTTGCATGTAAAACTGAAAAGTTGACATTATGGAAACATTTTAATATTTATTTAAAGTGATGTCTATCGGTAAATAATTAGTTGAGGCAACTATCACACTGGTCACGTGACATTTAAAATACCACGTGATATGTGCGTAGGTCCAGTCTGAAAAGAATAGCATCTCACAAGTACGGGGCGAGTTAAAAAGCCGCCCGTTGAAACGCGAGATTCTGATTGGCTCAAACAGAGCACCGTTAACATCTCGCGGAATTTAAACCTTTGATACATTTTATTCAAAGTACAGTGGTAGTCCATTTCGTTTCCATAAACAAAAAATGATGAAAAACTTTGGAATCATCCAAAATCTAGTTTTTCCATGTTAACATGTGGTCTTTCACCTAATTTTGGTGAAAAATTGATGTTTTGTAACATTTATATTTTTTTTAGTTAAACGTGTTTATTAGAAAGTAAAAAAAAAGTTTCGGCTTATAAATAGAAAATACAGGCTTGTAGTTTTCTATATGAAAGCACGGCCATTTCCTACATCCTGATCATGTTTTCGAATTTTACACACATAAGAGTACGCATATTCACCAGGGAAAAATCAGATTTGCCAAAAAAAAATCCTTACGCATTTAACAGTAGATTTATAAAAAAAAACAAGTTACATGTGTCCGTAGTACCCTTATGCAAAATTCCCTTATCATTGTTTAAGATATGGTCTTTGTTATGTATGGTGTTCTTTAGTACAGCGTAAAGAACAAAAACGTCACGATGCGCATGCGCTATGAATGGTTATCATAATTTCAAACCAGAGCAATCCTTCTATACCTGAATTACCTAAACTTGACACCGGCCACTTTAGAGTTGTAGATATCACATAAATAAAGAGGACCCCTGTAGCCTTTGGCGTCACAGAGGGTCTTATGGAAATGGAATTGGAGTACGTAACTAATAAAATATCTGAAATATGTAAATAAATATGCTATGATTGGTGGTTGTTGTGCGTCTACGAGGGTATAAATTTGGTTGAATGGCAGAATCCATTATCGCATCGGATAAGACTGTTTCTATTCGTTTTTTGCAAGAGTCTTTTTCTATAAGTGCCTTTTAGCTAACATATACGATTAAATACATACACATATGGAAATTGCCATCTAAGGCATTATTCCTTGGTGCAAATAGAAAGCAAATTAACTGACATCCTCGGTAACCCAGGCTATTTACCGTATACCCGTATTAAATGTAGTACTTGTATATACGTAATGTGTACCGTGGGTTCCGACGATGATTAACTGAATGAAATAAAGTATTCTAGGATGTAAATGATTTGTAAAAAAATCATACATTTATATCCTGGTACATGTACAATAAGCGCGCCTATTAAGTTCAACGAATATCTCAAACCTGAATCTGTGCTGTGAAAAATACAATGATAAACAATAATTATTGCTATAAATTTTACCATTGATATAAATCAGTAAAATAAATCCCTGATAGATAAAATTGATAAATATTTTCATTATTGTCACGTTAGTCCGACTTACCTTATATAAGGCACATTGGCTGGAATGTGGTATTTTGCACCAGGGTCAAAGTCATTCTCCGTCCTCTCAACCGGCGGCGACAAACCTTGATACTTACATCTGACAATAAAAATTTACATCTGACAATGAAGATTTACATCTGACAATAAAAAATCATATCTGACAATGAAGATTTACATCTGATAATATAATTTACATTTGTCAATGATTTTTTATCTGACAAAAACTTGAATTAAGAACATTACACTCCCTTTGCATACTTACAAAAGTAGGTTTCAAACATGTATATAAACTAATAGTTTTTTTTAAGTTAATTCGAAATACAAGGCAGATATATTAAAAGAAGTGCCATTATTTTTAACTGCTAACCTGAGGTCCCACCATTTCTCGTTATATTTGTTTGGCGGTGTTTGTCCGCTAAATACACTCCAGCGCCATTGGTCTATCAAATAACCAAACGGAAGGAATGCAATCTTCTCTAAAGCCATTTTCATTAAAAAGTTTATATCACTTTCTGTAACAGAAGACAATAATTTATCTATATTTGAAATTATATTTAAAGACAAGATTCAAATAATATTCATGATGATGGTGATGATAATGATGCTGACAAAGACGCCTTGGTTGAAGGGGAAAAAAGGAAAAAACTCATGAACATGATGATGACGCTGAAGCCTCTCTGTAGCAGATGACAATAATCTATTTATAGAAAAATTACATTACAGTTATAAGTAAACTAGAAATGTGTCATCATGCCACGGATGCCCCCGCATGCAGCCAAAATTTCAAATTTTATAATATTTAGTTCCAAATTTGTTTGCACAAATTATTTTTTTCATTCTAAGTTCAAAGCCCTTAAAACTTTTCAATGTTAACACAAACCATTTTTATACAATGTTCAAGGCACTGAAATTATTCAGTCTTAACCTTTTGAAAATAGCATATTGCATATTTGTAGCCAAAATAATGGCTATATACATTTCCACAAAAGTATGAGTGCTGAAACTGAAAGTTCAAAATTTTTCCAACATTCAGGAAAGATAAGTTTGTCCAAAATCATTGAACCATGACCGAATTCGAACTTGGCCTGCGCATTCTTAAAACATATCCATATGTCAAAGTTGAGTTGAATGTGTAATACTGTTGGGGAGATAATAAATGGAAACTGAAAATTTCATATTATTTTTAAAGTGAAAGGGGCATAACTCTGCCCAAAATCATCGAACCATGACCAAATTTGAGATTGACATGCGCATTCCTTTGACATATCCATATGTCAAATTTGAGTTGAATGTGTAATACTGTTGGGGAGATAATAAACAGAAACTGAAAATTTCATATTATTTTCAAAGTAAAAGGGGCATAACTCTGTCAAAAATCATCGAACCATGACCAAATTCAACCTTGACCTGTATTTTCTCATGACATATCCATATGTCAAGTTTGAGTTGAATGTGTTGTTCCATTGGGGACATAATGAACGGAAACTGAAAATTTCTTATTATTTTCAAAGTGAAAAGGGCATAACTCTGCCAAAAATCATCGAACCATGACCAAATTTGAACTTGACCTGCGCATTCCTTTGACGTATCCATATGTCAAGTTTGAGTTGAATGTGTTGTACCATTGGGGAGTAAATTAACGGAAACTGAAAATTTCTTATTATTTTCAAACTAAAAGGGGCATAACTCTGCCAAAATCATCGAACCATGACCAAATTCGAACTTGACCTGTATTTTCTCATGACATATCCATATGTCAAGTTTGAGTTGAATGTGTTGTACCGTTGGGGAGATAATGAACGGAAACTGAAAATTTCATATTATTTTCAAAGTAAAAGGGGCATAACTCTGCCAAAAATCATCGAACCATGACCAATTTCGAACTTGATCTGTATTTTCTTATGACATATCCATACGTCAAATTTGAGTTCAATATGTGCAATGGTTATTAAGATAATGAACGGAAACTGATGATGACGGAAGGACGGAAGGACGGAAGGACGGAATGACGGAACAGGGTAACACTATATGCCCCTGCCATTATATGGCGGGGCCATAAAAATTCGTGAATAAAATTACATGTAAATGACTGCAAATGACGTATTAAAGGAACATGTAAATCCCTCTCATTCATAAAAATTATAATTTCAGGCTTATTTTCATTATAATAATGATATATACATGTGTAAATACCTTGTTTTGTGTCCATTACAAAAAGAAAATTTTAAATGAGATATATTAGGTTACGATACATAAGATCAAACTCAAAAAAGGTTTAAAATAAATTATAATTGTGATTTCTTACCATATGTATTTTTCATATCTTTAAGAAGACCTATTGTTTTAAGATGTCCAGGTGTAGACACGGACAAAGCCATTACGTCACCTATTGCCTCATGGAATCCTGAAATTTAAAATTTCCACGCTAAATGTTTATTTTACATAAACATGACAATCTTTCAATCTGAATATGACCATCCATTATTTTAGGGAAAGTTTAACAATATGTACTGACTGAATAGCAAACACAGTAATCAGACGACAAAATTGTGCGGGCTCATCTTGGTCTGCTCTGACTAATATATTATTATAGACGTTGAAATGTGGTTGTTTTCAAAACAGCTTATATTCAGTTACTTATATAAAAGATCAGAACATGTTCTGGGATTGACAAATATACATTTATTTGGATTTTAAAGGCATTTTGAGTTCAACACCCCAAGTATCTGTGGTCTCTGCTAGCATTCCAGGAGTTTAAAAGATTTTCTTTTAATAATAAATGATGACGTACCAGGGTTAGCTCCTCCTCTAAACACGACTGGCTGGTCTTTATATTGTAAGAAATATTGTATATGTCCCATCTCATGATGTATAACAATCATCTCCTCCATGTTCACTTCCGTACACATCTTAATTCTAGAAAATACAAAAAAAAATTCTATTTTCAAAGTGAACGGTGTCGCATAATAATTTTAAGTCTGTGAGATATGCAATTTCCCTTTCCGGATTCAAAATGGCTTCAAATTGACTTGCCGAACAACAGCCATAACGAAGAGTGGTTTATGCTGGCTTGAAAGTTGGCAACATTTTGTCCCGAAAAGATAAGTGAAATAAATTTATGTACATGTATAAGATCTCTTAAATAAAAAAAAATCTTACATACATTTTACGTACTTCCGGTAGTGCTTTGATTCATTATGTGTAAACATACCTGAAATCTTTTTGATTATAGAAGTCCCAGGCGGAGGCATGGCAGACCATGGTGATACCGTCTGGATTAACCATGATTGTACCGTTCCAGAATTCCGCCGGCATTGGTGATAAACCCAGTGATGTAAAGAACTCCTCAGCTGTTTTAAACATTCTCATGACGGTGTAGTTCTAAAAAATAAAGAAGGTTCATACATGTATATTATTCTTGTAAAACCGAAGATTTTTCTCCTTTATTCGCAACTAAGTACATATAGTATTTTCCATAATGAATCAGATTTAACTGCAAAGGACACGAATAGGGTGTCAGTAAATACCGCGCAAATTTACCGGAAGTCAAGGAGAAGACTAACCGACTATGGCCGAAAAATAAATGATAAAATAAGTTCGGGTTAATGATAAGGTAAACTCATTCTTTAAATTATAAATGCAAATATATGCATCATATCTTTTAAAATATTTAAGTCATTATTGTCAATGATTTCCAGTATAGATTTACATTATTATTTATATACATTTGGTTAGTTTTAGACTCACCTGTTGTGCGACTATCATATAAAGAGTGACCTTGACTTATAGCAAGTTTTTAAGACTCTTACAAGATACATTTATTTTTTCATACAATAAAAAGTAAATTAAAAATACCTTAAAATGCACTATGCAAAGCATTCATACACTGGACATCGGTTTTAAACATTTGAAAATTCTTGTTGAAATAACTAAGTAAGTATCGAACTCGTGTTTTTTGTGGGATTTTTAATGTATTATACCAGACTACACTTTTCAAAATAATATCAAGAATCTTAAAACCTTCTTTTTTTTCGGGGGGGGGGGGGGGGGTTAATTATATCAATTTCATTACCAGTTTACTTTGAGTCTACTAAAGTTACATAAAACAAACTTAAAGAATCGAACCTGTCTTAGCATTTCCGGTGTGACGTCAATCTTTTCGACACCTTTGTATGGTTCAACTAAATTGTATATATTGTTCCATTGTTGGCCCCACATGTTTCCTGGAAAAAAAATATTATGATATGAATTGCTTCTTGCAATAAGTTTTTGTCGATCTTTTCAGCATATCGCCTTTAATCTTATTTGTCAAAGGACAAGTAACAGCCCATATAATGGCAATAGTACGTTCATACGAATACATGTAGTTTTTAATTATGATATTTACTCTGACCACGCATAATATCTAAGATAGACTTAGCTAGCTTTTTAATCTTGTCAAAACCATTCATCATTTTTGTGAGATGAATTTAAGGCGTCGTTGATTTTGTTTACAAAATATACTTTGCCCCTTATGATGATGTTGTCGAATAAAGCTCGAAATGAGTAATCAAATGATGAAGGAAAAAATAGCCATACAAAATTAAGTTCTTGTAAGGATAAAAAAAACAGAAAAAGAAATCAACTAGAGAGGTGTCCATTATGACCACGGATGCCCCACAGCCCACTCCTCTACGGTCAGGCAGCGTTGCAACAGCGGGACGGACGGACCGACAGACACGAAGCTCGTTTCTCCCAGCAAGTACTGGGAACATATTTATACGTAACTATAGAAAACACATTTCAAAATATTTACCAAGTAAATGAGCAGGTATGTGGCCTGTCTTGGGAAAATTCTCTCCACCGTACGTTAGTTTAAGTTGTTTCCTTACATACCCATGTAGAAGTTTGTATAACGGTTTTAATTCATCTAATAAATTTTGCAAATCTTTCTCAAATGTTTTAGTCTCATACACCGATCGCCAGGAGTCACCAGTGTCGGAATAATCTGCAAAAAAGTGGAGATGCTTCATTGAAAAATATAGAATTAATAAAATTAAATTATAACAGGTTAAGTTTAAAAAAAAATACTTTGAGCACGGCTGTCAAGAAATCTTGAAGCACTCTCGAGTTGGCTTCCTTGAACTAACCAGTACTTGTGTCATTTGAAGAAACAGTGTCGTGACTCAAGAAGGGTTCGAACCCACGATCCCTGGTTTGAGAGGAAGATACCTTAACCACTAGGACACCGGGCGCCTGGTTTCAAATCTAGTATATTGCGCATAGCGGTGCATGCTAATCTGATAACATTTAAAATAATTAATGCCACTACTTTGAAATCATTTAGAAAACGTCTTCTGAGCCAAAAAAAATTTGCTAGCATTGACCTTTTTAACAGACAATTTGATTTGTGTGTTTACGTCTCTAAACGTGTTAAAATCTCTGTTGAAATGATAAATCTTTTTTAGTCTACTTACTTAGTTGTCTGACAGCCTTGTTGCTAAGTTCAACAAACTTGGCATAATCTGACTTCATGAGTTTCCCGGAGGCGTCTCTCCACTTTAACCACGCCTCCTTTAATTCTGAGTAGTTACGTGATGACGTCATGATTTCCGTCAAACCTGCAAGTCGTATATGAAAGTCAGAAATAAATTAATTAATTAATCAATTAATGTAATATAATATGATATGATATAAAACTAGTATAATATAATGTGATATAAGACTAGTATGATATAATATAATACTAGTATAATATGATATAATATAATAATATAATTATGATATATATAATATAATATAACATAATTAATATTAATATAATATAATATAATATAATATAATATAATATAATATATATATATAATATAATATAATATAATATAATATAATATAATATAATGACATAACATAATATAATATAGGGTGAATGCTTTAAAAGCCCTGATCAACTGTTGGTGTGCTTTATTTGCTATGGTTCTATTTGCATTATTTAACTTGTTTTAAAAGTAACTGAAATAGTTTCTAACTAAATGTAAAATAATTGTCGTTAAAATTAAAACAGAGAATCTTAATAACGAATTTATAATACCGCAAACTTCCTTTTTTAGAAAAAAAGTGAGATATTATGGCACTGAATAATTGGCTTCTTTGATTGAGAAGGGTTAATTAGTAAATTTGCCGCAGTGTATATAAGAAATATAAACTTTTCAATTATCCAATGAAATTCGATGTAACAAACGTGCACTATTATACCAGCTGCAAATTGAAATATATCTCACCAGGCTCGAGTAAAAGACTTTTTCCATTTGACATTTGAACTTTAGCTTTTCCATATATTCCTTCAATTTTAGCTTGTAGATCAGCCATCTGTATAAATTGAATATGACAAATAGTAATAATCTAGAATAAAACAAAGTAAGCACAATAAAAATAATAACATTCTTAAATAAACATGCAATTTCACTGGCACTGTTTTCAACTTTCAAGTTAATTAAATTTTACGTTTTTTGTTGTTGTTGGTTTGTCTGTTTGTCTGTTTATTGTTTGTTTGTTTTGTTGTTGTTGTTTGTTTTGTTTTCGTTTTATACTTTGCTATGATCACATCAAGAATTTGAACCATTCCGTGATAAGAAAAAATCTCACAAAACTTACCTCTTTAAGTTGATTTTTATCTTCTAAAGCGTTTGTACCTATATCTGTGATCATTTTAAACTGTCTTTTCATAGAAGAATTAGTAAATGTTTTCCATGGGAAATAATTGGCTTGTTTGTACATTTCTTTATCGAAATCTGACTTCTTAAGGCTCATTTCAACCTGAAATTCAGTCGTAAAGAAACCGTCATGTATGTTACAAAAAAAAACAAAAGAAAAGAAACACACCACTTACGTTTTTAGCTCAGACTCATATAGATATAACCAGTATTTTGTCAAATTTTATGCTGTGCAAAAATCAAATGAACATATTTCAGTTGTAAACTTCATGTATTTTATTTTGCGAAGGTTGATAATCGTAAACAAAAACAAAATGTTTATATGGAAAATTGCGAATTAATTAAAATAATTTAGTTAACGTTAATTAGAAAATAAAGAAATAATGAAATAGCTTTATTGAATTTTTTACTTCATAACTTAAACGAGGTGAAGCAAATAAAGGAAATGAGGTATTATAAAAATGAAACCTAAACATGATAACATAAGCAGCACGATGAAAAATAAGGAAAAGTATTTATCCTGTCACTTGTATCAATTTCGGCCCGATAAAAAGGTGCCGTATATTTTTACTGATCTACGGCACTTGATCACGTGGTATGCATGAACGGGCACCTGTTTGCCGGACTACTTTACACTGTAGAATAACGAATTTTGGAAACTTTGATAAAACTTTTTGTTTATTTTATTTCACTCTATAATTTTTCAAGCGAAATTAAAATTATTAAAAGTGAAATAAATGTAAAACTTAACTCGTTTGCGACATTAAAATAGCGTATTTGATTTGATTGTTTTGCACGTGCTGTTTGGCGCTACATTATGACGTCACGTAAACAATACTTAAAACGTCTGTACAGCGTTAACGACTGAATAAAAGATATTGGTGTTCGAATTCATTTTCTTAGTTAGACCATTTTTTTTTTCATTCTAGATAGTTTTCACAACAAAATTCGACAATAAAATGTTTTTATTTATCACATTTTTCAAACAAAATGGCGCCCTCAATGTGAAAATACACAGGGCGATAATAAGAACGGCGAGTGCATTGTTGTAGAATAATGCACGCTTCGGGCCTTCTTTGTTTATATAGAAACATTTCCGATAGTGTGATTAAAGGTAGTTTGCCTAATAAAATTCTTTTAAAAAACGGTGACAGGATAAATAGAATAATTTGATGCCGTGGATGGAGAAAGTTTATCTGGCTCTGCTCCGGAATTTATTGGGTGAATAAATTCCCCGCCTCGCCAGATAAACTTTCTTCATCTACGGCACCAACGTATTATTCTCTATATAATGAAATCTAAAAAAGATAACGTAATAATTCTAGTTTAAATACGGTTATTTAAATAAGATAATGCTTATACGTACTATAGTAAAATTAAGACTGGTATCCTGCGCACTTATATGGGAAGCATAATTGGATAGGGAACCAAAATAAACGAAAGCAGTGTATAAAATACAGAATGACAATTTTAAAACGGAAAATGTAAAATAAAAATGAACGATTATTTTATACTATTTCACGTTAAGAGTAAATCGAGCTCGCTTTGAGGCTTTGTCTTTTTCATATTAAACGAAAGTAACGTAAATAGTAACGCAATTTTAACGAAAGTACGTAAAAAAAGACTTAAGTAATATAACGTATACATTGTATAAGGAAATCTTAAGCAAACGTGCATATCAAATAAGGTTATATATTAAGAGTGTTCTCTACCATAGCAGCTTGGTTAGCGTCTGTGATGTTAGAACCATAGTTCCATTGTGACAATACAGACTTGTACATCATCTCCGACGCCTTGGTATTATAATAATCTAACCATTTTGCAGCCATCGGTTCCTCTATATCATCTGTGATTGTTGGACAATCCTCATGCCACCCTGGCTTTTCGTCTGAAATGAATAGTGCGGGGAAAATAGTACACGTTAAACGCTTGCATTGTTTTGATTTTAATCAAATTCTTTCACAGATTTCCAGCATTATAAAGCTGAAAAACTAGCATAAATGTTAGCTAAAGCAACTGTCAACAGATTTATTCGAAGCTTTATTCAATAAACATATTACAGCATATTGTCATACAAATTGACATGCAAAAATGTTTATAATCTTGTAATTCAACATTTGATAAGTAAATAAAATTTACAGAACATACAGAGCACGACACTCAATACACTCAATACCGTATTCCAGAATATACAAGGCGCTTGAATGATTAAAAGATATAATCTCATTTCATCCTACGAAATGCACTCTTAGAGGTCTAATTCATCTGTTCGCACCGATTTATTGACGATAATTAATGAAAAATTTAGAATCGTCGAAAAAAAGCGATATTTTTCTTCTTTGTGATCATGATTTCTGCAAACGTCTAGAGGTACTACTCCAACACTGTAGTGAGCTGGGTAGTCTTTCATTATACAGCTAGGCCAGTCTGCATATAAATGCAGTTTGAATTCATAGACTCAGTATTTTGATACTGAATCCCCTCGAACGATAATGGTCTGCTCCTAACGTTAATTACACAAGATTGTGGCCAAGTCAAAAGAAAATTGGCTGCAATGTTACCTTTATTTTGTTCATCCAGCCAATTAATTAGGGGTTCGAAGTATTCTAAAATTGCTGATGCGTTCATCTTTGATGTTCCTGTAATTTTTTTAAATATTTCTGGCCATGGTTTCGATGCACCCTCCTGAAGTAGTTGCCTGTTACCAAAAGAAGAGATGACATGTTTATTGCTTTCATTTGTAAGAAATATTTATTTTTTAAAATCGTTGTTATTGTCAGTACATGCCATATGAAATCTGGTCACTCTTTTTTTCTACTTTTTGTGTACTTGAGAACTTTACTCATGTTTTCACTAAGGTTCAGATAAACATTATTAATAAATATGTGCGTCCTCCATAAAATTAAGCGCAAAATATTTCATCACGAAATACAATTAAGAAAATAAACATTTTTCTATTTCAAGAGACAATCAAGAACAATAATTTTACTTTCCTATTCCCCAAGACTATACTTTACTGGTTAGCGTAGATGTAGTGACAGAGTAAAGGAACTATAAACAATCAAAGTGTAATATAAGTTTTAGAGGTTTTATACTGACTCGAGCTTTTGACCAGCGGCAGAGTTGTTGTATATGTCACACTGGTACAGGGGGCCTTTTTGTGTCTCTCCTGCGGCGTCACATAGTGCTTTGTGAAACTGAAACTGTATAACGTAACTCACGAAATATCTGAAACAGGAAAAAAATGTATCTACAGATTCGTAACCGACTTTGTGCCCCTTGTAAAAAATCTAAACTACATAGATATGAGAAGGACGCATGACAAAATTCACATTTATAGAAGCTTTTTCACGCTATAAGCATCTAGCATTCACTGAAATATTATAATTATCTAAATGTGTATTTCTTTCATACAGAGGAACAAAACGTATATAAAATATGGCTTGTACCAATAAAGTTCTTAAGATCATGAAATATACAATTATTCATTCTACATTCAATATTTGAAAGGAACAAGAACTCGGCAATATTTGTTAAAAATTTTCATCTCCGTTATCTCCCATCGGTTGAATGATCAATACCTTATATAAGGAGTGTTTCCGGGTATGTGGTATTTTGCTCCTGGGTCGAAATCATCACTTGACCTTGCTACAGGGGGTGAAATCCCCTGATATTTGCATCTGCAAGAAAAAAAAAGAATAATAATACCGTTTCAAAGAATCTTGTATAGTACTGAAATACAAGACTGATCTTTGAAGACCGGATCTAAGTCATCTTCTCACTATAAATAAAGAAAAACAACTCTTGGCCAAATAATCCTTTTCAACCCTTACCCCGCTAAATATTTTACATTGACTTGTCCGTCTATTAATTTGGGCAAATCAATTTATCATTTTAAGGGAACAAATTAAAAATAGGTATTGACTGAAAAGCGAACAGTGCAGGCTATGAATATTACGAATGGATAAAATATGTAAATCAAATTACTAAAAATAGATACAAACACAACGTGACAAGGTATACCTTAAACCTGCCCAATCAGATGTGTATTTTTCTGGAGGCGTGTCTCCACGAAAAACGCTCCAACGCCATTGGTCGATCAAATAACCAAACGGAATAAACGAAACTTTATCTAAAGCTTGCCTCATCAGAAAATTTATGTCAGCCTCTGAAATTTCATAAAAAAAACATGCTCATTGAAATATGAATATTGTCTTATCATCATATAATCATATTTATTTTAAACAATAGTTCTTAATTACAATTTTATTGAAAATATTTGACCAATTGAAATCGATTCAGCACTACGTCATGAAAAGGCCCGACCAACAAACCCTATATCATTTTTAAGGTTATTTTCATTAATCAATCAAAAGATAATAAAAACCATCGTTATTTTCCAGCGTTTTCAAAAGACCAACGGTGTGCAAGTGTTTGGGTGTAGACGCTGATAGAGCCATGACGTCACCAATAGCTTCATGGAATCCTGAAGAAAAAAAAGATTTACGTGAGAGCAAAATAAATGTATAACTCTGGGCTTGCGCGAATAAAACAGTTTCAGCATGACTTCCTCTTAAGAACTTTCAAACGTCAAAAAAGGTTCGATGACACAACATTGCGTTCAATACAAAAACTATTTTAGAATGAAAAAAAAACAAACATTTTTTATTGTTGATGTTTTTTTTTTTTTTTTTTTTTTTTTGGGGGGGGGGGGGGAGGTTTGGTGGTTCGATAATTGTCATAATTAGTATATTAGTACATGTATATAAGATGTATAAAGCCGTTTTTTAAATAGGAATCCTGATATCAATGACTCTTAATTGACTTTCCGTTGGTTGAACTTCCGTTACATATGAATGGCTTTAGATTTAAAGATTGTGTCACCTGTTGTTGGTAGTTTCTGGAACAAAAATTATAGAATTAAAAAAAAAAGTTTTTTTTTCTGTCCCAGATAGTTTCAATTATAAAAGCATCTGAGAGGTAACTTGGTAAAGGCCAAACACAATATTGGGTTCATGATGGACTGAATAATTGTAAACCTGTACCTGGGTTTCCTCCCTCCCTGTAAACATAGGACAAGTTCTGATATTGAAGATAGTATTGTATATGTCCCATCTCGTGATGAATAGTCACTAGATCATCCATTGTTATATCTGTACACATCTTAATTCTGTCAAAAACACAAAATGTAACTTTACACATTCATATGTTCTACATATGTGTATTCTATGATTATTTTAATAATGGTCTTAAAGGCTTATATAGCACTGTGGCTGAAACCTATCTGAATCCTGTATATGAAATATGTTTATTGGTTTTTTTACAAGGTACACTTGTTTGTTTAAAATATTCTAGCTTTAGTCGAGGGTCAAATCCGATAACCTTATTCTTTGGTTCATGAAGTTTTATATTTGAGGCAAAATTTTATAAACCACGTGACTGCTACCTTTGTTAATCACAATGGAACCAAATAAACTGCGGAATAAAAAGATAGTCTCACAAAAGAATATCAAAAGAATGAAAATACAATGTACTGTTGTTGTTTTTTTCGGAAGGTAGGAACGTCACATATTTTGCTGACGTCATTATTGAAAACAAATATTTATGTAACTTGCCCTGCTCTTCCAATATTGAATTGAATAATGTCTCTACCTTACGTCATTTCCTTTCATGAAATCCCAAGCGGAAGCGTGGCAGACGACTTCTCGTCCGTCTGTTGGTTTTTCAATCATAGAGTTCTGCCAGAATTCTGGCGGCATCTCTCGAAGACCAAGCGATACGAAAAAAGTTTTCTGCTTTTTTGAACATCTATAGCTGTATGTTCAAAAAAGGGCAAATTTTAGAAATTTTTTTAAGTGTTCCTTGTTTTATTTCCTTGACACGGATTGTTTTTTTCCATAGTTTGTTTTCTTTACTGTGCCCATTTAATTTGTCGGCGCGCGTCCCCTTTGGCCCGGGTCTTTTTTTATTTTTTTGTCTTTTTTACACTTTTACTATTTTAAAAATTTTTTTTTTTTTGGGGGGGGTTGTTGTTTTTTTTTTTTTTTTACTTTTATAAAATTGTTTTTTTTAAATTTTCCTATTTTTTTGAATTTGTTCTAATATAAAAAGTTTTGAACAACTCATTGGGGTCTGTATAAAATAAAATTTGTAATAATATAGTAAAAAATAACTATATTATCATTTTTAAAATCATTTTGTCATTCCTTCGGTCATTTGTTCGTCCGTACGTTGTATCTTACAAACATTCTGTCATTATTTTATGTTTAACTACTTTCAATCATTATTTCGAGGTCACTATGAAGATTTTTTGTTGTTCTCATGTCCCCTTAAGTCTGCTACTGGCAACAGACTCGACCCAAACGACGTGAAAATAAAGTTCATTGTCTCATTTAAATGCATAGTTATGTATTAATTACCCATCTGAATTCTGTAAACAACACGTCAACGTTGTTACTGTAACGCCTATCTATCTACCTATTTAATCTATTTAATTACATATGTTTGATAAACTTTTGGATGTCATACTTTTATTTTTAACGAATGCTTTTCTCGTGTTTAGGTACTGAAACATTTTGGTAATTGGTCGTTAAGTAATTAGTTTAACTGATAGTAACATTGAAACGTAAAAACCAAAGGCCGTGTGCAAACAATGTCTACTTTTTGATACTGTGAGAACATTATCATTTATGAAACCAAATTAGGATATCTAACAAGCAACCCATCGCAACTGACATTATTCTTGAAGAAATGAACGCCATTGTATTTTTTGTAAAAAGATTGATGATGAATACCACTTTCCAAGACAGATTTTGTGTAAAATGTATCTGTGACATTTTTGACACAGCTTATTGCTTACGTCACAGAAATTTTCTGTCAGGTATATTAATAACAAAATACAGTCAAATTGGTTATAAATCCACACCTCTCCTGTGAAAAAGGTAAACAATCGGCTACTAGCATAATCATCATATGTAATATAAACTAAATCGAACCAAATGAAATTTTATGTACATATACATTTCTTACCGCAAATAATGCAATACCAACAGTTTTTGGTACAGTTTACTAGAAATTTTGTTACTTTAACAATACGATTATCAATATGCATTAGTAAAGTGCGGTATAATATAAGAAATAGCACGTCCTCATAGCATAGTAAGTGACATCCCAGTCAGCCGAACCTCAGCCTCCGGCTTCGATCCTTCAAATGTTGGCGGGTTGACTGATCGGTCACTATGATCTTATGAAGCACTCAATGTTGTGTACTATTTCTTTTTCACCCTTACCAACTCTAAATATCTTAAATGACCATGCCTATTTTTCATTCTGGTCAAACCCATTTCACATTTCTAGTGAAAGTTTCATCTGATCTTGGTCTTGCACTGGTTGCATAGCAGACTTAAGGCTAGTTATGTAACATGATACATACGGTTAATCTTGGTCTACACTTTTCGTTTGGTAAGAATAAACTACAACCAGCAGACTAAGTGTTAATAACGTGACTTTTATTTCATATTATTACTTTCTGTTTTATAAATATAACAGGATGAAAACTTACCCTTTGTTTGAGGACCGGGGTAATATCAATGCTTTCTCGTCCTTGGTACGGCTCTAACATATCATACAAGTTGATCCAACTTTGAGCCCACATGTTCCCTACAAAAATATTGATACATGTATATAAAACACACTTTTCTTTCATTCATTGATACGAGACAACCGCATCAATTGGAAGCAGTACTGTTATCGTCTGATGACAAACGGTTTGATTTTAGCGCTGATATTTTGAGCTCTTCTGCAAAACTTAAGCGGAAAGTGCATTTTTCTGCCATGTGTCTCCCTACATTGTCGTCTGCTGTAAAATGTTTTCATCTTATGATTCTTAGAAATAACATTATACATTTCCAAATTCTAAGATGAATACGCTCATTACAGAAAAGTTGGCGGTACCGGGTAAGGATTTTTTGTTATGTTTTTATTTATGTCAGACTTTTTTCTTTCTTTCTTTCTTTCTTTCTTTTTTTCTTTCTTTCTTTCTTTCTTTCTTTCTTGCTTTCTTTCTTTCTTTCTTTCTTTCTTTCTTTCTTTCTTTCTTTCTTTATTTATTTATTTATTTATTTAGTTAGTTAGTTATTTATTTCTATTTAGTTATTATAAGGCGGTGGGCGGGGCAAGTCAAACCGGCACTGCCAAAGCCATATGTTGACTTTCCAGGTTTAAATCATGAAGGAAAACCAGGTTCGAACAGTTGATTCAATACATTTTTTTAACATTTTCTAAAACTTATAACACAACATTCCAGAAAGAACTCATCAGCTCATCTCGATAGTATGTATAATAATTGATGAGCTGTAAATCACTCCGTTTCTGTCTAACAAGTATGTTTTATCGACAAGATCAGGCCATTAACGTATCGACTCCAGTCTAAATTGTTATAAAGGTACGCCCATTGAAAGCAAAATGTTTAGATTATCTTTTCTGTTAACAATAAAAAAATTGAAATCACAAAGTGTATTGTTGTTATGATTGGTATAGTTTTACTGCGAAAATTCGCCTTTACAGTCACACAGTTCCCTCCCCGCTCCAATAAGTAGTTGTTATTTTCATGTAATAAATTATATGTCTTTTAAATAATACTTGAGCACTTCTTTGGTACCATGGTCTCGCGTATTTATTTATTCGGACCCCACAAAATCTTAATTACAAAAAAATTAAAACAATCATGTTGCTTTTTAAATCACATAACAGGACATCGCTCTAAATATTTTCGTAACTATCTCGTGAGTAAATGACAATGTAGATCTGCAGGTGTTTTGTAATTTTAATATATTGTTAAACACCTGCTAAGAAATGTTTATCTATAGTCCAATCTCGTCTAAACAGATTTAGATATACGATTATAAACACAGGTGGCATTTAAGAGGAGAAATACCTTGTTGTTCAGAGTACGAAATATTTCATGCGAAGTATTACGTTTGTATACTTTACTTTCAGCTAATTTTCTGATAAAGTTCATGGTAGTTGATATTTATCCGTAATGCCAGTGTCATTTTTGTCAAATTGGAACAGTTGAAATTATTTTATGTTTAGTTACATAGAATTAAATATCAAAAATAATAAAACCAACAATACGTCTGCTAAGTCTGTTTATATAAGATACGACTGGCCTAGTTCTGTCCTCGAAATGAGGTGTGCAGTAATATCAGGGATTGATTTAGACGTTAATATCCACCTGTCACACATATATTTGGGACCAAGGTCCAAAATATGATTTGAGCCGCGTCACGACAAAACCAACGTAATGCGTTTGCGACCAGCATGGATCCAGACCAGTCTGCGCATCCGCGCAGTCTGATCAGGATCCATGCTGTTCGCTTATAAACCCTATTACAAGAAAAGAAACGGATAGCGAACAGCATGGATCCTGATCAGACTGTGCGGATGCGCAGGCTGGTCTGGATCCATGCTGGTCGCAAACCCACTATGTTGGTAATGTCGTGACGTGGCTCATTTAACCTTTGTCACCAGTATACAGCCAGGTCAGCCTGAACATCTGTGCATTCTGATCAGCCTCTATACTGTAGCTCATTTCTTATGTGTTTTGATATTGAAGCCCCTGAACATTAAATATACTGTTCCAAATTTTTTTTCAAAGCATGTCAAATTCATTTTATGGATTATGGGTAAATAAACTTTAAATAAAACAATTTTAAAACATATAAAATGATTTTTTCTGAAGTGATGATGATGATGATGATGATATTAATGATGAAACAAGTTAAGTTACCAAAGAGATGAGCTGGAATGTGACCACTAGCAGGAAAATGTTCGGGACCGTAATGTTCCTTCAGCCTCTTCCGTACGTATGCATGAAGTTTGCTATACAAGGGCTTTAACTCTTCCAGCAGTGTCTTTAGGTCCTCTTCAAACGTATCACTCTCATACCAGCTGCGCCAGTACTCGCCGGTGTCATTATGTCCGCCATCTGTGGAAGAAAATTACATATATTTGTGCCGCGTCACGACAAAACCAACATAGTGGGTTTGCGACCAGCATCCGCGCAGTCTGATCAGGATCCATGCTGTTCGATATCAGTTTCTCTCTGTAAGGGTTGGAACCCAAGATGGACCCTGATAACACGGGATGCGCAGGCGTTGGATATGCTAGTCGCAACGCACAAATGTTGGTTTGTGGACGCGGCTATTTAGCATGAATGTTTAAAAGAAAACATCTGTACCGGAAAGAAACCCAATTAATTAGGTTATATTTTTATTTCATTTCTTTTTTTGAAGCTTATCTGCAAATGTTTACAGAACCAACGTCACGTGAAAGCTCATAGAATTCTCTTTATGTAAGTATTCATAAACGTGTGTATGAGTGACCGAAGTTGTACTTCATGAAATTTATTGAACCCTAAGCCTGCAGGTCTCCGCTGATTCAAACCATATACCACCAGTGCAGACCAAGACCAGCTGGTAGTCGGTACTGTCTGATCATGATCTGATCTGCACGGCTCGCTATTCAGTCAAAATATACTTTTAAAAGTTTCGTGAAATAATTAATGGTTCTGTCAAGATTGAAAGACGGACAAGTCCATTTAAGATAAAAATCGGGGTAAGGGTTAAAAAAAAACATGTACATAAAGTTAGTTCCCTATTCCTTATTCATTTTTCCTTTTTCGAATAAGGAATAAGGAATCAGTTCCTTATTCCTTTTTCGAATAAGGAATAGGGAACTAGTTCCTGATTCCTTATTCAAATCTAAATAAGGAACAGCAGAATTAGTATTTATTAAAAATAAAATTATCAGAAAACTAGAACGGTTCTTTCTTTCACAAATCTGTTGAAAATGCACACATCAATCATCAAAATCATAGAATAAAGCACCCGCATCGACCTTTTTTTAAACAATATTCAAATCGAACAAGGATAAATGAACCCGTTCCTTATACCTCATTCAAATCATTGCATAAAAAAATCTGCATAAATTATTTTGAAAAAAATGTTAAAGTCGAATAAGGACTAGGGAACCAGTTCCTTATTCCTTATTCAACTCCGAATAAGGAACAGAAGAAAATACGTAAAGAAAGACACCAGTTGCAATTATTTTTGATAAATCTGCATTAGAATTGCCAGGATCAATCATTAAAATCATGAAATAAAGCATTAGCATAAAAATATTTTGGGAAAAAAATGTTAAAGTCGAATAAGGAATAGGGAACCAGTTCCTAATTCCTGAATAAGGAATCAGGAACTAGTTCCCTTTTCCTTATTCGAAAAAGGAATAAGGAACTGATTCCTTATTCCTTATTCGAAATATGGAACTAACTTTATGTACATAAAAAAAACATCCATTGTACATGTATCTATGTAACAGCCGTTTCGGTATTGCAACAGATATTTTAATGAAATATTTCTATTTCTCTGAGCTATAACGATTTTATATTCACTGCATAACCTTTGTAAATGTATTTTCATTGTTAATAATAAAGATGATCACCAAGGATAAGAATTTTATTATCTTACATGATTACATCAAATGAGCATTGCAGCTGCAGATGATGTACGCATGTAAATATGATCTCAATTCAAGCTTTAATTAATACTTGATTTGATTTTAAAGGCCCATTATGCCGAATTAATGCTTTTAATTTTATTTCTAAAAAAACTTGTTTATTTTAGTGTACTATTAAAATTTCCGAAAACTTACTCATTAGTCAATTATCTGAACATTCTTTTTCTTCTGTTGCTTTTTCTGGGGCAATTAGTACAAAGAAAGTGATTTAGTATTTTGTATGAAAGTCAAAATACTCCTTTTTGCTACATGTTTAACAAATTATTTCACATTACGTGCTAATTTCTGACTCCGTACGACGGTAGACTGCTATAGCCCCTTACAGAACTTCCGGTTCTAGTGACCTTACAGTCGCCGCACCCAGAAACAAAGAAATATTTCTCCTTGTTCTTAGGCGCGAACTATATATACGTAATGTGAAAATATTTATAATTTACTGCTTTTTTCAAATTCTAGTCAATAATCATGAAAAACCCGTGCAAGATTTACGCCCAGATTTCGCAGATTTTTAACATCATAGTTTGTGTCTGCTTACGTTTAATATGTTAGCTCCCTGATGGTTTAATCTCAAAATGTTACGATATCATTTTGATAAGAAGATTTATTTCGACTTTTAAATCACAAGCAATTAATCTTCGCTGACAATTATCAGGTTTTCTAATTTATGTTTTTCTCAGAAGTAAAATTAAGATTAAAGGTTCCCAGAGCTTTTTTTCTTTTCGTTTTTAAATGTTACCGTCATTTATTCGTTGATCAGAATTTATCGTATGTCTTGCGCACGAGATAAATAAAAAAACACACATGTCACCTTTGTGCCACCGTACGTATGTTACATAACCATTGGTATTTTTTAGGGTTTAGCCTTTGTTAATTACGCAATGATTTTTATTGATAGGTTAAGCAAATTATTACAGAGGGGACAACGTGATTTTTTTATTATTAGTAGTAAAATATAATAGTCTGACACGTGCGCACGAAAAATTTAACAAGTATGCACTTTGTAGATCATACGTGCACACGTGGTAGTTGAAAAAATATCGGTCGCTCTGTGCCACTGTAAAATGTAACATGATTCCACACTTTAAACATCACATTTTACAGAGATTTTTTCACAAATTTCTATTGTAATTTACGCAGCAAACATGAAATAATACTTCAAAAGAAAAATGGTTGTTAAACGTTCTTAAATAAGGAGCACTACAAAATCACCTTTGTTAAACGACCCTCTCTGGAGCATTAGCCTCTTTATAAAAGACAGTATCAGATCTTCCTAAAGTAAGACCCTTATTAGAACAACACTTTTCTACAACAAACACATAAACTTTGACTCCCAATAAAAAGTACATTGCACTGCAAAGGTCGAACTGTATATTGTTCCTTTCGTAACACTTTCGTTTTAATCTATTTATCTATTTATTTCAGTCATTCTTGAAATTTTTACACTAAATATACGTGCCTTTTTAAATTGACAACATAACATTAAAACAAAAAGGAATGCCATGTATTTCAACGACGTAATTTTGTTTGCAAAAAAAGAAACAATAATGGCTGTGTAATATCGAAAAAAAAATCATTCAGATGTGAGTCATTTCAAACCACTCATAATTATATCTTTTAATTTCATGTATTATATGCTAAACATAAGACATTTGCCTCTGCCTTTTATAAATATATCACTAGACGTTTGCCCATCTCTACTTTTTTCCTTGTGTCAGTTGTCCAAGGATGCATTTTTAGACGGGAGTGGGGCAAGTGTATTGAAGGGCACATTTCCCTGATTCGGTTAATATAAATACAATCTGAAAATATTACTTTTGGACTCTGAACTGTTGAAAGTGATACTAAATCTAACATATTCAAAGTAGATAAATCGCTCCTGAAAATTTAAAACGTTCGTTTTGAACCTATTAGAAAAAGAGCAATTTATTCATAAAATTAATTGGAAAAGTTAAGATGTAATAAAATAAAACATTATAAGATATGTTATTAAGAACCAATTAAGTCTATTTCTAATAAATTTCTAAATTGTGCACTTAGTAAGACTTAATTACTCACTGCACTATGGTAGCGGATTTGGGACATGCACAGTTTGCTGTTGCTGTTGATGATGAGTTCAATTGTATTCAGTTATTTTTGTCTGCTTTTTTTTTTTTTTTTTTTTTTTTTTTTGGTTGATTTTTTCTCTTAATATGTAGGGTCACATTCATGTTCAAGTCGGATAGGCAAAGGACGTAAAAACGAACGGTCAAAAACACAGTAAAACATGACTTCCACATTTTAGTTGTTTTTAATCTTTCACTTGTTGGACCTGCCCCACGAATATGCTGCACATGGCCTAAATAAGTCTCCGTACTATTTCATTTTTTTTTTACTTTATACATATACAATATTTTTTTTCAAAAACCACATCAAGAACATGAAGTTAAAGAAGGGATAAACAATCGTCTGTATGAGCGGCATTTTCCTATATTTTTAATGCTTTTGATTTTGTTTGCTTTTTATGCGATCATTTAGATACACGAAAAGTGGCATGGTATGACAATTCTTAAAAAATAAGATATCACAGTCAATACTTTTGTTGTCAGAATACCTTTAACGTGCAAAGCTCAAACAATACAGAACTCGTATATAACACAACGTTTCATTAAATAAATCAACCTTTCAAATGAACAGGGTTACCTTTTAGGAAAGGTAGATATTACTGCGGATACATATCTATATTTGAAAGGTTGATTTATTCAATGAAATGTTATGTTACTAGCAAACCCACGTTTTGATTTTAAACGATTTTTTTCTTCTCCAAAACAATGCATTCTTAACGTTTGATTCCTTACAACAAAAGTAAACATCAATTACTCCTACCTAACACGTATCATAAGATAAAACGATAGCAAGTTCATTTTGTTCATTCCTTGCACGAAATTCTCGAACTTGCTTTTCGGTCTTTAAGTATTAATAATTACCGATACTTATATTTCGCTTAAACATAATGAAATATCATTTTCTAAATTATGAAAATCACCAAGATCAAAAAGAAAATAACTCGAGAATTTATAAACCGCAATTGAAATGTTGAAGAACGATAAATGAGAAGCTACTTCGGGTTTGTTTACTTGTGTTTCGGTATTATTTACTTATCTATATATTATTATTTTCGTTACTTACAGTACATCTTGCATTTTCTACAGTACATCCTGTTTGTGGGTTTGCCTTTTATACCGCTGATACACGTAGACAAATCGCCCTTTGTCTGGATTGTAATCAATACCGTCTTTTCGAGACAATCGGGTCTTTGAGTATATTTAGTGTTTAGATGGGAAAAAGACCAACCCAAAATGCAGCAAAACCACGTAGTGCTGCAACAAACATTTTCAGATTGTTTGGGAGTGGAGTTCTTAAAAATATGTACAT